TGGAGGAAATTCCTCTGCTTTATTCATCCCAGGACTAGTCAACAGACAGCTAGAGACTACCTCTACAGCCCAAAGCCAACTGGAATTATTCAACCCAGCAGATCTTACACTGTTCACCCTGCCCTCTCTTGCCTTTCCAGGCTCTGGTCTCAGCACTCTCCTTGTTCCTGACCCACACAGATGCTTTCCCATGTGGCTCCGTGAGACATGCCATACATCCTGTTTCTAGGACCTGTGAATATAATAAACTTTGTTTTTCCTGAGTCTTTTTTGTCCTCTTCTTGTGGCTATACCTGACTGACGATCACATAAAAGAACACAGAACACAGATGTGCTCTCCATCCTGGCAAGTTTGTATGGAAGTTTGTAACTAAAGTGCCACAGACACACACAATTCCTGGCAGACTTTTAGAGCCCCAGATACAGCTTCGTCTGCATCCTATGTCTATTAACTTATGGATGCTTGGAGACTATTCAGAAATATAATACATTCAGATGTAAATGTGGCAGCTTGTCTAAGCGACAGAATCAGAAAATATGATATACTCTCTAGAGAGACCAGACTCGAACTACGGGCACCACTACCCACCAAATCATTGGTTCTTCTTTTCCCCACTTTAGTCAATTCCTCATCTAGATCACTGTCCTTTGCAGGACTCATCCCCCTCCTAGCAATAGAACTGTTTCTAACGCTATGTGAAAAAAGGGGCCTCAAGATAACACCCAATATTTTTAGCACCGGATCCTCTTTATTTCCTCCCTCTCCATAGACCCCATATTTTGGAAGATTTTTTTTCTACCAAACATCCATGAAGTATTCTCCTGACTTTAACTGGATGCCACATCAGCCTCCAGCCCAAGCTCTGTGCTGCAGGAAGAGATGAAGAAACATGATATAAAGGAAGAAACAGAGCTCTGGAGTCTGACAAACAAGATGAAAGTTCTGCTGCAACAAGCTGTGTGACCCTGAGCAAGTTATGCAACTTTTCTGAATCTTTATTTCCTCTTCTATAAAAAATGGAGAAAATGGTTTCTGTCCCACAGAGTTGGCACATGGTGGGAAGTCAATCGAAGTAAATTTCTTCTCTCCTTTATCTCAGTTCTTAGAATTCCAGTTAAAAAACAAAAGAAAGAAACTTGACATTTTGTTTACATACTAAGGTTTTGGGCAAATGTGTCTTTTTCATCATGCCTTTTGAAATACGAAATCAGGTCATGGGTTCCTGTCGCAACTCACTTGGACCCTTGTTTGGTAAACTCTGTCCTGTGTCTTCTGCGAGGGGAGGTCTCATCAGCACAGCTTGTTGGCAGCATTCAAGAATCAGGGAAACTCACGGAAATGAAAGTCTGGCTTGTTGCTTGTGTCAGGGTGCACCTGCCAACCGCCAGCTCCTAATAAAGTCAGGTCTGAGCAGCCTACTAAAATGCCAGAATAGATACATGGAATTCTCTAAACTGCTCTGCCACCCTCCAGCTGCCTTATTGTCAATGAACAGTCAAGGGTTTCCTAAAACACCACTCATCTTGTGCGTGAGAGAGCTACCCATAGTATGATCCCAGGCAAGCTGCTTCAAATCACAGGGAGCAGGGAATTCATAGGGCACATGCTAAGCTTTTCCTGGATGCAAGGATATAAAAAAGAAAACAACAAAACAAAACAAGAACAAAAACACCTGCAAGGTAGCCCTGAAGAGGCCCGGCAAAAGTTGTGGCTCTTCATTTCTTAGACACTGGAGACCAGGACTGTGGTCATAAGCCAGGCCCAAGCTCACAGGAGGTCTTCTCTGTATCTCTCAGAAATCCCCAGATAACCCTGCAGCACACTTTAATATCTCTGTGTTTGGGGACACTTAAGCCAGACGAGCATAAAAATAAATTTAAAAATGAAGGGAGAACCAACGAAAATTTAAGGACTGAGAAGTTGGCGAGGCTTTCTTTAGAGACCCCTTTCTGTACTCCCGGTTTGGGCTTGTTGCAAACATCATCGGTACCTTCAGGGTATCTCCTCAAGCTTCTCCTTTTTGCCCTAATCATTCCAAACGAACATCAGGAATACATTCAGACTAGTGGCATTTCTCATGCGATATTTTATTCTGTTCTACGGAGGTCCTTTATTTTTTTGATTTTTTAAAAAGATTTTACTTATTTATTCATGAGAGACACAGAGACACAGGCAGAGGGAGAAGCAGGCTCCACGCAGGGAGCCCGACGTGGGACTTGATCCCAGGTCTCCAGGATCAGGCCCTGGGCTGAAGGCAGCGCTAAACCGCTAAGCCACCAGGGCTGCTCCATAGAGTTCCTTTAAAAGGGACTTTTTGTTATGTTTTGCCTCCCTCCACTCCTGAATTACAAAGGAATTCAAGCCGTTAAATCTGGGGGTAGCAAACTTTTTCTTAAAGGGTCAGATAGTAAATAGTTTCAGCTTTGTGGATCTTATGGTCTCTGTTGCAGCCACTCAATTCTGTATGAAAGCAGTCCAAGATAATCTAATCTATGATAAATGGGCATGACTATGTTCTAAAAACCTTCATTTATGGACACTAAAATTTGAATTCCTTATAACTTTCAGGTGTCACAGAATGCTACTCTTCTTTTGAAAAAATTTCCCCAACCAATTAAAGATGTAAAAAAAGATGTAAAAGCCATCCTTAGCCCACAAGTCATAAAAAAAAAAAAAAAATCAGGCAGGGGTCTATGACAGATGTTTGCCAAACAGGTAAGATTGATTAGAACCACTGTACCACCCATTTACTATCAACACAATGATTACTTCACCTGAAATTAAAGATATGCTCACTTCTCAGGCATTTCTTGTACCAGCTAGTGAAGAACTCCTGCAGGTTGGTGGACATGCCTAGAGGTGACAGGCCCTGGGCAATGTGGTTTTAATGGTCTTGGAGGCCAAACCAATTTCCACCAGAAGCTTGGTAGAGGTCAGGTTGACGGACAGAGTGAAACTGTCATGCTTAGAAACTGCATCTAGGGTGCCTGGGTGGCTCAGTAGGTTAAGTGCCTGCCTTCAGCTCAGATCATGATCCCAGGGTCCTGGGATGGAGCCTCATATTGGGCTCCCTGCTGAGCAGCCCACTTCTCCTTCTCCTGTTCCCCCTGCTTGTGCTCTCTCTCTCTCTCTGTCAAATAAATAAATAAAAATCGTAAAAAGAAAAAGAAGAGGAGGAAGAAGAAGAGCCAGAGACATGCATCTATCCTGCAACCAGAGCGATCTATGGCTCATATAGTGGGAGTCAGATATTAAATGATTACAGGGCCACTATCTTGATGTCCTGGAGCTATATACTTCCTCATAAAAAAATGGAACCCCTTTCTATATAGAAGCATGCTGCTCTCATTCCAGGTAAAAGTTCAGTTCATCATTTTCAAATTCTGGAGAAGCCTTCAGTTAACATAAGCAAAAAAAGTTCCCTGGAGTAAACAGTCATATTTGCTCAGAGTTGGTGAACTTTGGGGAAGGATGAGGGAACTTCCCCCTACTTCCTTTCTCTTGATTATCTAAGGACTTTTCCTTATTTGCAGGTTTAGCACTAAAATCATCAAGGGGGATGACATTTATCTTTTCACTTCTCTTTCCTGCCTTCTCTCCAGAGTCTATTTTTCTCTCCATACTGCTGTCTGGCATCCATCCTAGTTCTCAGGCTTGGGAGTCAAATGCACCTAGGTTCTAGTTCTAGTCTGCCACTTACTAACTGTGTGATTCCTAATACATACACACTCTGAAGAGCCCCAGAGGAAAAAGGCTAGAGGAAATGTGATGAGTAAGGGACTCATGGAGATATACTGTCCCGAGTGGTTCCCTCTAAAGTCTTTTGAAAGATATACTGAATATACTGAAACCAGACATGGAACACAGCGCCTCCATTCCTGCAGACTGTGCCAGGACAAAGAAAGCCCTTAAAAGCAATTCCTAGGGGAAGCAGACTAGTTCCCCCTGGGAGAATCCTGCATACCCGGAATCCAAAAAGAATTTCTGGGGTACAGTTCTATTTCTTCATCCTATGTAAATTCTTTACAAATTCTGACTTGGAGTTTCAGAATCAGAGGGCTAATGAATGGTCCTCCTGACAATTAGAGTCTTTATATCCTACCCACTTGACTAATCTATAGCTCAGAAAGCTGCTTGTCAATAAAAAGAAAATGAATTAGTCTAATTTTTTTGTTCTGCTGAATTGATTTGAATCCAGAGATCCCTGATGCTCAGAGTAAAGAAAATCTGGAATAGAAAGAGAAAATATAGTTCAGTTTCCATTCTCTATAGATGCCCATGCTAATGGTGGAATGCAGTTATAATCCACAGGTAAGCGCACAGCCTCCTGAGGTCCTCCTCATTGGCTAAATAGTTACCCTGGGAATTAATCAAAGCAAGTTAATTGATTTTGACAATTTAAAAATAAGCAGAGACCCTTGGGCCTGACCTCTTCCCTTTCCATACAAAACTTATTATTTATCCTAGAAACAGGGTGACTCTCAATCCAAACTAATTTTCTCATCAGTCATGATTAATTAACTAAATAGACCTTCTTTTTTGTATGCAGAGTAGTTAATACCCACAATTTATTTATCTGAATTTATAAATTTAACTCAGCCAATTCCACTGGCTTCACAGTGAAATTGTGAAGTGCAGTGAAAATTCTTCTAATTAAGGGCTGGAAAAAAAAAATAAAACTCTTAGAATCATCTTCAGATTTATAAAAAATATTATTCCCAATTAAACAACCTGAACATTGAAAACAGCAATTGTTGTGCAAACTAACCTATTTAAATCCCATTTAATAAAATCAAGAATATGATAATCCAAAACGAACACATTCTACATGGACTGCCTATGCAGCAGGATACATTTGGTAGCCACAGTGTTCTGGATCTGGTTGTGCCCCTGACTATTTTAAACTTGTTATTTAATCCTGCCAAGAGTGACCTCCCACGATGGTCACTCAGAGGCACCTGCCCCATACAATTAACTGGAAGGATTCATTCTCCAGCCCTTACCGGATAAGGTGTCTCACTGCAGCGTCAAACTGCAAAAATATAACCTCCCTACGAAGGAGGAGTGCCTGGGACACCTCGGTAGGGTCTTGGGGGCTCTGGAGGCTGTCAATCATTTTCTGTAGCTCTTGGAGCTCAGATCCTGGAAGATAGATGACATTTTAGTCAGATAGTGTGACCTAATGAGCCATCATTTCACCCCTGCAGCTAACTTTTTACCTAAATGTATTTTTTTGTTTGTGAGTATACTAATTATATGTTTTGCAAGATCAGCAAAGTCTTACGTTCTAGTGGCCAAGGACTGATTTATCTTCTTCCTTCCTTCTTTCCTTCCTCAATAAGATAAAAATTTGCTTTGCTTTTCAGCAGAATAAGAACATACTGTTGAATGAAAGTTTTAAATTTTACAAGGCTACAGCCTCCAGATTGAAAAAAAAGAATCAAACGAATGGAAAAAATATAGGTCTCAGTAGATCTGTTAGGGGCTTAAAGTTATTATAGATGACAAACCAGCATTCATTCCTCATAGTCGTGCCGTACAAATCAACCTCTCTGTCATTGGCTCATGGATTAAAGAAGACTCAAGACTATCCAAGGCAAGCAAGAAATATGCACTCCTGTGTGTGTGCACACATGTGCACACATACACACGCCGTCTTCTAGGAGATTCTCATCATTTTAGGAGTAGGTATGAGAGATCCTAAACAGACTTATTTTTTGGGCCCTTACTGCAAAAATGGGCCAGGTATAACAGACTTATATGTGGTGGTGGTGGTTGTTGTTTTCTTATATGTGTTTTGAATGGAAATTTATTTTTTTTTAAAATTTTTTTTTTATTTATTTATGATAGTCACACAGGGAGAGAGAGAGAGAGAGAGGCAGAGACATAGGCAGAGGGAGAAGCAGGCTCCATGCACCGGGAGCCCGATGTGGGATTCGATCCCGGGTCTCCAGGATCGCGCCCTGGGCCAAAGGCAGGCGCCAAACCGCTGCGCCACCCAGGGATCCCTTGAATGGAAATTTAAACTGGGGACATTTTGCAGCACTCAATGCCAAGTTGAGGGAACTGGCCTGCATCTAGATGGCTGTAGTATCTCCGTTATTGGCCCAGGACGGGAGCTAGTCAGAATGGGAGAGCATAGCAAGAAAATGATGAGTCCTTAGGGAGCACTGGTAGGGAAGTGGGGTGGGAGTCCACCCTTCCAGGGCTAAATAGAATGTCAGCTGATCTGAAATGTTCCTCAACTCCCATTGAGGACAGTGATAGCTTTCTACATCCCTGCTATGGGAAGAGGATTGTGGAAACTGATCACTGGGCCTGATATGTAGCCCAAGGCAGAAGAGAAATGGGATAGCTCTGAGGCACTTCCAGAGTTTCTCTCTCAATAGCTTGTCCAGACTTGAGCAGCCTCCTCCCCTCTCTGGCCTGGTTTTGGATATCTTCCCACATGCACGGAAGGCAGAGGAATTGAGGGAATGGGGAAGCTGTCCATGAAAGCCTGACTAGGGCAGAATCAGGACTGAGAAGAGATGCTTATAATTGTAATATATACTTTTGGCTTTAGGAAAAGATGAGCAGTCCAGATTTCATATCCATCTGATGCTTTACATACAAGAAAAAAATGTTTTTTAGGTACTTGTCCAGCCCCTGAAAAATTGGATCCAATCATCAAAATTTTTATGACTTCTCTATAAATCTGATGGTCATATTATACTGAAAAGAAACTTCCACCAGAAGAGGAGTCATGTTAGGGTGAATTCTACAAGAATTTTAGGGGTGGGTGGGAGGAGGGGTTGTCAGTGAGCCTTATTTGTTCAAGGCCTAGCATGATGGTCTGCAAGCGATACATTTTGTCAGGCTAAGCAGCAAACAGTTGGGGAACGTTTAGAAACCTCCGCAATGACGATGAAAAAAGAAAATAAAGTTGCCCACACCCTGTGATGAAAGCTCTGTTAAATGTAAAGTGTGTTTGGACAAGGGCTAGAAGGCAGTAAAAACAAATAAGAATATCTCTCTTGTTACAGTGGCTGGTTGCAGATAATTTTTCTCTTTTCATTGCTTCCATTATCGTTTATGTGCGTGCTGTGTGTGCCCCTTTACACTACGTCACTTCCCAGCAAAATTGTTCTGTGCTGATAGGTAGCAGAAACATTATCACCAAAACACAGATGTGGAGGTGAGGACCCGCCTTTCTTTGTTGTTTATGGATTTTAGGATCCTTATTTACATTTCCCTTTCTTAGTGGCATCAGGCTGCTGCTGGGTGGGAGGGAAGGCGGCAGGGAGGGCAGGGAAGGCAGTGGTGGTGGTGGGGTTGGAAGTAGACCCTCAGCCAGGAAACGTCGGGACACATGAGCCTTTCCCCAGGAGTGTCCCATTTGGGAAATGAGAAAGAGAGAGAGAGAGAGAGAGAGAGAGAGAGAGAGAGAGAGATAGGAATCACAATGGCCCTGTCTCCACGTGAATACTCACAAGCCAGTACATTTTGAGCCTAGTTTGTCTCAAGAGTTCCTGAAACCCTAAGTTTAGTGGATAGTATCTGGGCTTTAATTGGCCTCCTAAACCTTTACCAGGAAATCACAGTGTAAACTCCCACGGGCTGATTACATCCTCTGCTGATCCGAAGGGAGTTGCTGGCTTTCAAGGAAGGAGAGGATTTGGCAGGGTCCATAGAGCTTGTGCTCAGTGTCGAAGAGCTGCTTCCTCGGTCAAGTGGGAGGACCAAAGATGAAATCAGGAGTGTCCTCTTAAAGAATATTTTAAAGCATATAAGCCCACAAAAGTCATTTCGTCGAACTCCAAACAGCTTGGCAAGAGCTGAGAGGAGCTGGGCGAGGATAGGAAGAGACCATCTTCTCTGCTCACCTTACTTCTTGCCTCCTTCTGGGAAGCGGGCCAGCAATTGAGGAACCAAGGCTGTTTTTTTTTTTTTTTTAAGAGATGATTATCGTAGAGTGGAAAATTTTTTTTTTAAGTTCAGTTTGCTCTTTATCTATTTTCAGCAGAGTATGCAGAACTTTGCACATTCTCCCTGGAGCACAAATGTTTTCACTGGCAACAGGACAAGTGCATGTTTCTAGTTGCACACCTTGGAAAGCCCGGGCCCCACATACTTCAAGGGTTTCTGGTTCAGAGGCACAGAAATAGTAAGAAACTGATTCCCTTCATCTGGAAGGAAATCACTGTCCTCGACCATTCATCCTCACTTGCTACTGTTCCTCAGTGTCGCACTGGTAGGTGGTTCACCCTTCTCCGGACTCGCCATGTGCCATCTGGCCCATCACCTTTGCGGTGTCCTTTCCTGTCTTACCCAGACCATCCCTCCTAGTTCTCTCATTGATTCAAGTGAGGGCAAGTATCCCCAGATCACCGTCCCTGCATGCTGTCCTCCCAGCTGCCGTAGGAGTTCCTATGTGGGGTCTTTCTTTGGAAAGTTGCCTTTGACTCTATCTTGGCTTCTATCTCATCTCCATGTGACACTTGTCTCCTGGTCTCAGGGACAGGGAAAAGGCTCTAAGTGTGCTTTGGAACTTTTCTACTCTCTTGATTCTTACACTGAGGATGTGCTAGTAGTTTTGAGATCTCGGTAGTCTGCGACAATTCTGCATTTTCTGCTAAGTCCACACCAATCCAGGCCTTCTTCAGGATGCCCCTCCTCAGAGACAGAGAACCATCTTCCTCCGGGACTGCCACTCATTCCCTTCCCTAGGTCTCCCATTTGAACATTTACAGATTTCTTCAGTGCTCAGTAGCACCCTGAAAATCTACCAGCAAACAAGTGCGGGTCTCCCACAGACATCTTTATGCACTGGCCAGAGGGGAACCTGTTTGAAGACTGCTAGGTTTAAATGTTCTTTTTTTTTTTAATTTTTTTATTTATTTATTATAGTCACAGAGAGAGAGAGAGAGAGAGAGGGGGGGGGGCAGAGACACAGGCAGAGGGAGAAGCAGGCTCCATGCACCGGGAGCCTGATGTGGGATTCGATCCCGGGTCTCCAGAATCGCGCCCCGGGCCAAAGGCAGGCGCCAAACCGCTGCGCCACCCAGGGATCCCGAAGACTGCTAGGTTTAAATAGGCATATTATAATCTCATTCCATCGGCTCTTCTCATCCTTTAAAATCTTTGGCTACTCTGTTATAATATATTGTGATTAATGAATAATTAAATGACCAATGTTATCATTTGGCTGCAAGTCAAATTATTAAAATAATGAGATTAGTTTCCCTACTTTTGACCAACTCAGCTTACTAAGCATTTCAGTCTTTACCTTGTGCATTTATCTTAGAATTTAGTGCTTCGTTATGGTTTATGGTTTAACACTTGGTAGATAAAACTAAAACTTCAGTCATTTTTACTTTAGGACCATCAGGCTACTCTTAACTAATGGAGGACTGTCTGCAAAAATTCTTGACAATAAATGCTTGGCTCTGACCTTGCCATATTAGCTCACATAGGCCAAAAAGGGAATGAAAGAAAAGGAGTTTGTAGTAGGGGTATGTACATTCTTATAGAAATTTTAGAGACATTTTAACCCACAGAGCATCTCCATGAAACAGGTATTATCACCTCCATTTTATAGATGGAGAGATACCCAGAGAGTAAAGTGTCCAGCTTCCAGTAACCAATTGGTAGATACGGGGGAAAAAAAGCTTTACTTTTTTTAGGCTTGCCCACTCCTAGCTTGCTTTACTTTGTGTTCTAACCTGTAAATTTGGAGTTAATTATTTAGAGACAGTATATCATGAGGTTTTTTCTCTTTGCCCTTCTTCTCACTGTCATTTACGAAAAAATATTTTAGTTCTATCTTTCTGAGTTTTAAGATCTTCATATTAATTAACTAAATGGAGGGGAGGGAAATCTTTTCACAATGTATGTGTATATCATTTCATGACATTTTACACTTTAAAAAGCTTACAATTTTATTTGCCAATTATACTTCAGTGAAGTTGGGGGAAGAAAAGAGCTTCACAGAATTTGAAGTGAATGTTGAAGGTGATCTGAGTCACCTCTAAACACTTACCAATGCCTTCAGTTCCTCCCCAGTCACCTTTCAGGAGGTGAGCACTTAGAGGAAATTCAAAACATGTTGGACAATTTCCAAGTTTAGCAAAACTGAAAAGGTAGGCCACAATGTCATGGAGAGGAGCCATCAGCTGTAGAGTTAGCTGTAAGGCTTGAAAAGCTGCCTATGGGTAAAATCAACACAAAGAAATTTTAAGAGGTTTTTTAAGACATGTATAAAAAGATATGAGCATCGATTAGGAATAGTATCTTTAAACAAAAATATTAAACATTTTCACAATATAGGATAATAATCACAGGATAATATCTGAAAAACAGAACAACAAACCTATTCATCAACCAGATTACATGTCTTTGGAGAAGGTAACTCTAGGAGTGAGGGGTTTAAAACAATATGTTTCTCTTTGTTTAAAGCCATTGGTGACCATAAACACAGCAAAATGCGTTTGTATGACCACTGATGTATTACAAGGGTCACAGATAAACTCCTAGCAGGAACCCATATTCAGACAACATTGCCCTGAGGGAATACCTGTAAGCGAAACACAGATATTGATCAATGTGGTTCAAACACACAACTAAAAAAATCAAACATCGAACTTAAATATTAATGTTCAAGTGAAGGAAAAGTGGAAAATTATGATCCAACTGAAAGAAGGTAGTATTTTTACATATATTTTTTAAAACACTTAAAATTCTTCAATGAAAGAATAATTATTTTTAATTATTTGAGGAAACTCCATGCTGTTTTCCATAATGGCTGCCCCAACTTACATTCCCATCCACAGTGCACAAGAATTCCCTTTTCTCCACATCTGTGCCAATATTGCTGTCTCTTGTCATTTTGACAATAGCCATCCTAACAGGTATGGGGTGCTCTCTCATTGTGGTTTTGATTTGCATCTCTCTGAGGCTTAGCAATGTGGAGCATCTTTTCATGTACCTGTTGGCCATCTGGTTGTCTTCTTTGGAGAAATGTTTATACATGCCTTTGCCCATTTTAAAATCAGATTTTATTGTTGTTGTTGAGTTATAGACGTTCCTTACATATTTCAGGTATTACCCCCTTATCAGATATGTGGTTTGCAAATATTTTTCCCATTCTGTAAGTTGCCTTTTCATTTTGTTGATGGTTTTCTTTGTTGAGCAGAAGCTTTTTAGTTTGATGTGGCCCCACTTACTTATTTTTGCTTTTGTTGCCTATGCTTTTCATTTTATATCCAAAAAATTATCATCCAGACCAATGTCAAGGAGCTTTTCCCATTTTCCTCTGAGAGTTTTCCAGTTTCCAGTGTTACATTTAGTCTCTAATTCACTTCAATTTAATATTTGTGAGAAGTGAAAGATAGCAGTACAGTGTCATTCTTTTGCATGTAGAACTACCATATGATCCTCCCACTTCTGGGTACATATCCAAAATCAGTATCCCAAAGAGATTATCTACACTCTTACGTCTATTCATTACTCACAATAGCCGAGCTACGGAAACAGTCAAAGTGTCCAGTGGATAAATGGAGAAAAAAATGTGAAACACACACACACATACACACACACACAGAGGAATATTATTCAGACATTAAAAAAAGAAAACCCTGCCATTTGCAATAACATGGATGAACCTGGAGAATATTATGCTAAGTAAAACAACCAGCTAGGGAAAGACACATACCGTACAATCTCACATGTGTAATCTAAAAAACAAATAAAATGTCGAACTCATAGAAAGACAGTTACCAAGGGGTGGGAAATGGATAGATGTTGGTCAAAGGGTGCAAATTTTCAGTTACCAGATGAATAGATTCTAATGCACAGCATGGTGCCTACAGTTAATGATAATGTATTGGATAATTGGAATTTGCTAGGGGAGTAGGTAAGTGTTCTTACCACACACAAAAGAAGGTGACTATGTGAGGTGATAGATATGTTAATCAATTTAATTGGGGTAATCATTTCATAATGTACACATATGTTAAATCATATTGTACACTTCAAATATATACATTTATTTGTTACATCTCAATAAAACTGGGGCAGGGGAAAAAAGGGTAAGAAACCTAGGTTGTTAAACAGGTCTTCATCCAACAAAGAAAAATCAGAATGTTCCCGAATTGCCATTTTTCAACACTGCACTTTACTCAGAAAATACTTATTTGAGTGCTCTGTGTATTTCTAGGTCTACTCTTTTTTTTTTTTTTTTTAAATGGTTAACAATGTTTTACTCTCACAGCAAGTTAGGTACAGAGAGCAACCCCTGAAAAAACAGGCTGATTACCAGGATTGTGATCTCAACTTGTCATTAAGCTTCAGGGCATCAGGGTGGGGTTCTCGGGAAGGGCTTGGGAGGAAATTGAGGATTAATAAGGAATGTGGGGAGCTCGAATTAGTGTTCATTAGTGACTAGGGAAAAACAGAACTCGGGAAATAACGAGGCCCAGGAGAAATGATTATAAAGCAGGCAAAAAGTACGGGGAGCTGTGTGAAGATTTCAGTTCTTATTTAGCTCTGGAAAAAAACAAGAGATGTTCTCTGAAATGGATACTATCAACCATGAGACTAAAACTCCAGCCAGTTTTCATTCTGGCACACATGAAAAAAAATACAAACCTTTTCTGGCAGAGTTTTGAACATAACCAGCACTTCAGAAGGATGGGGAATGAACCATAAATTGAGGAAGACTTTCCCGTCGGCAGACAGCAGACACCGTGGCCGGGGCTGAAACCTCCTGCAGCGTTAGAAGAGACTGTGGGTAGGCACCGCATTTCTCTTTAAGAAAGAGGCGCCCCAAGTGAACTATTTATAACCACCGCCCTGCAGCCACAGCAAGAGCAGGGCTGTGGTGACACCCGAGCAGGCCCATGGAGCAGGCCCAGCGTCCAAGCCTGGGCCAGCAGGCCTCCTTGTCAGGCCGCGCACAGGTGGCCCCGGTTATAAATAACCCTGGAGAAAAGCAGTGAGGCCACTTTTAGCCTCAGCCTCGGGTTGGAGGAAGCAGTGGGCTTGCAGGGAGGGAGGGAAAGGTGTGGTAAGAAAGCAAAGAGAGGACGCGAATCAGGCGGCTCGCACCATTCTGGGGGTCACGTATTTTCTCACTTATTTCTTATGACCTTAGACCGGACCCGTTCTGTCGTTTCACAGATGAGGAAATTGAGGCCCTATGAGATCTTGCCTGCCCAGCTCCTAAGAGACGAAGTTGATACATGCAGATCTGTCCAGTTCTAGAATCCAAGCTCTAGGGACCAGCCTCTATTTTCCTTCCTCCCCATCCATGTTTTTTGCCAGGTTCTCCAGACTCTGGCCCTCTCTTAACTTCCTTCTCCTCACTGCCCTCCTCTTCCTCCGAATACAATATGATTTCTTAGGGGGGCACGATAGCTGTCTCTTTGGTGTAGGTCTACAGACAGACACATAATCCTTGTACGTCTGGTTTAAGAATTCACACAAGCCCAGGTACCGACCACCTGGCCTGAGCGGCACAATGTCACCAGCACCTCTGAAGCCTGACGTGTGCCTCCCTGGTGGCCCTCGGAGAAACCACCATCTGAATTTCACACTCATCACTGTTGGTTTTTCTTTGTAGTTTTACCACAAGTGATAAACCATGAAAGGATTATTTTGTTGGGTTTTTCCTGTTTTTGACCTTCACACCAATGGAAGCTCATGGTCTTTCTAGTACACTCACTGGGGAAGGTGGCATCTTGACCTGGCTTCTATATCACCTCAGGAATGGGGTGGCCCACTGCAACAGAGGGTGGGGTGAGGGGGCTGCTTTCCTTGAACGGATTTGATGCCTTTACGTCTAATTGTGCTCATCTGGTGTGAAAATGGCGCTATGTGCAGTTAATGGGTGTGGATTCTGGCATCGGAGGACCCCGTTTTGAGACCCACTTCCATCCCCCACAGCTGTGTGGCCTTGGATGCATCTGAGTCCTTTCATACATAAAATGAGGATAATGCTTCCTAACTCACAGGATTGGTGTAAGCAATAACTTTTTAAAAGAGTACCAAGCACGTGAAAAGTATTCTATAAATTGTGAGCTGCTATACAAAGCTTGTTATTAGGGATGCCTGGTTGGCTCAGCGGGTGGTCGTCTGCCTTTGGCCCAGGGCATGATCCTGGAGTCCCGGGATTGACTCTCACATCGGGCTCCCCGCATGGAGCCTGCTTCTCCCTGTGCCTGTGTCTCTGCCTCTCTCTGTGTGTCTCATTAATAAATAAAAATCTTTAAAAAACAAAACAAAAAAATCAAAGCTTGTTATTAGAATGCTAAGGTGAGGGTATCTAGCGGAGTGGCCAAGGGTGGGTGGAGAGCAAGGGATGCCTGTGGCCCAGTAGAGAGGCATGTAAGTACCCTCAAGGGGAGAGGATGTGTGTGTGGGGGTACTTGTTAAAAGTGGGAACCTGACACATTAATGAGAGCACATCCTAAAACTGAGGGTTATAGGGACGGGCTAGAGACAAGTGCCACCTCAGGCCTGTCTCGGTTATGCTGGACAAGGCAGGCCTTGCAGGCAGAGAGACAGACAGTGGAAGGAGATGTGCAGTGGGTATGGAGCCCTCACCCTCACATCAACCCCTGCCCAGGGCACCTGGGGTCCACCTCAGCCCTCAGCTCTGCTCTTCCCACCCTGCCCCTAGTCCTGGACAGTTGTGTTCACTCTTCTGGTTGCAAAGGCCATCTATTCGCCAGTGACACCCGAATCCACATGTGTACGCCTGGTCGCCTCCACAGCTCCAGACTCCCAACCTGCTTCCTCTTGGCTGGCAGTGTTTCAGATCATCTCAATGGGACAAGGCAAGAACTGAACTCCTTATTCTCTTCCACCCCAATCCTGTGGCTGCTCTGTGTTCAAAAGAACCACAAACCCCTGTCCCTAAAATCCGGAGATCAGGGAGTCATTTTTAGATCCTCCCTTCTCCTTTTCTCTCCAGGTCCTACTCATCCCACTATCCTCTCATACCTGTACTCAGTTTTCATTCCCACTTCCACTGTCCATAGCAAGGACTCTGGGTGGGAGGGTCCCATCTCACCTTCCGGGGAGGGGCACTTTGGATGTCACAGGGGTGTTTTTTGACTCTTGTTATTGTTTCTGGGTCTCTGGGAGAGATTCAGATGACCCTTTCCACTTATTAAGTAAAACGTAATTCATTTTAACTGAGGGCTGAATGTTTTGAATATCAAATATTCTGAGCATGAGACTTTTTAAATCATTAAAACTTTACATGAAATAAATCATTGGCCTGAAAGCTACCTTTCAAGTCTCAGGGTTTTTTAATCAGGTAATTTGAAGCTCGGGAACAAAGGATAGTGTTAGATTGGAGAATTTCCTTTATTTCAGCAACCACAAAGTTGTCCTGGAGCAGATCAAAGCCAGTGTAATCCAGTCTTATCTCTATTGTTCAATTCACAATGTCCAAAGGTGCCCCCAAAGAAACATCAAATATCAACAATAAAAAGTCACCAGGCCTGTGGCTGAGCACATGAGGTTGCAGACCAAGGGGCTGGCAACAGCAGCATGGTTGAACCAGTCCTTGGCCTTGGAGAAGCACATATATCCCTGGAACCTTCTACCAAGTGTTATCCTTTATTCCTCATCCATTCATTCCTTCCATTTCCACCCCTGCCTGCAGCAAGCAGCCATCTGCTGGGGAAGGACAGAGAGAGTAGCAGAAAGCTCTAGGTGCAAAGCGCAGGAGTATAGCCCAGGTCTCAGCCCTACAAGGAGGATTCCTCTGTTCTCCTTGTGGATGGCCCGTCAACTCCCTAGGCTGTCAGTTCCTTGACCTGCTCAACAGCATCCCCCTTCACCTTCATCCCCCTTCAGCCATCCACTCTGAGGCCACATTCCAGACCTTATCATTACCTGGGACCACATTATCTCCAAAGACTATTAAACTCAACATCCCACTTTCCCATCTCAACCTTTTATTCCAGTTTTCTCACTCATTCAGTCCCAGTAAACCTCCTTATCCCTCTAAAATATGCTCCTTGACATCATCCAGCCCTCTGGTCTTCCCCCTTCCATCCGTCAGTTCCATTCTGGCCTTCCTCCCTTCCCTGCCTAGATTGGGTTTCACAGTTAAGCATAGGAACTATTCTCTCACCAGAACCTTCCAGTCTGTTTCTTTGTATTTACGACCCACCTACCCAGCAAAACCCCAACTCTGGATCCCTCCAGCTATTATGCTTTCTGCTTCTAGTTGCGTGTTGCTGAGCACAGCTGGGGGAAATCACACCACTAATTCTATTGATGCAGCAACAAGTAAATGGTTTCCAGCCTGAGTTGTGTCACCCTGGGACAGCCCTATTCTTTCCTTTGATCAGCTTTCGTGCCCATTTCCTTTTCTAATAATTCCAAGACTTCTTTCAGCCTCATACCAAATTCCTGCCAGCAGATGATGATATGGTCTGTTATTTCATAACTGAATTAAAAGCCATTGGCTGGAACTCACCCTACTTCCTGTGGGCCCTGCCGCCTACCCCCATCCTCTCTTTCAATCAAGGTCAAAGGCAGAGGTACACACCTGGGATATGAAATGAAGATGGCCACTGCCCTCAAGATTCTTACATTTATGAGGCAGCTAGACATGCAAACATGATTGAGGATAGAAGCACGGTGCAATGGAAGCACAGTTGGCCCTTGAACAACACAGGGGTTAAAGGGTGCTGACCCACCCTGAAGTGGAAAATCTGTGCATAATTTTGACTGCTCAAAAACTTAACTGCTAATAGCCTATTGTTGACCAGAAGCCTTACTTATACATCAATAGTCAATAAACACATATTTTTATGTTATATATATTATATACTCAATTCTGATAATAAAGTTAACTAGAGAAAAGAAAATGTTATTAAGAAAATCATAAGGAGGGGCAGCCCCGGTGGCGCAGCGGTTTAGTGCTGCCTATAGCCTGGGGGCGTGATCCTGGAGACCCTGGATCGAGTCTCACGTCAGGCTCTCTGCATGGAGCCTGCTTCTCCCTCTGCCTGTGTCTGCCTCTCATTCTCTCTCTGTGTCTCTATGAATAAATAAATAAAATCTTAAAAAAAAATCATAAGGAAGAGAAAATATATTTACAGTATTTTACTATAGTTATATAAAAAAATTACTGTTTAAGTAGACCTGTGCATTCAAAGCCATGTTGTTCAAGGGTCAACTGTATGTGAAAGTGCAGCGAACATGCAGAATAGGAAGCGTCTGAGACCTGTTGGAAGGTTATTGGAAGAAATTCACCACTGAGGCTTCTGAGCTGTGATTCATTATCTTCCTCTCTACGTTTCTTCCTCTTTATGGCACTGCCATTTTTCCCCACTTAAAGAAATTGTGGTAAAATATACATAACATGAAAATTATCATTGTAACCATTTTTAAATGTCCAATTCAGTGGCATTAAGTGCATTCACGTTGTTGTGCAATTGTCATCATCATCATCTCCAGAACTTTTTTCCATCTTCTAAAACGGAAACTACCAGTTAAACAATAATTGCACTGCCACTTTCGCATTTACTCAAGCCAGAGACTCTGGATAACACCCTAGATTCCTCCTTTTCTTTTAGCTTCCCATTGAATCCAGCACCTGGCCAACTGATTTTGCCTCCTAAACATCTCCTCTCTCTACAGTTTCAGCAGCTTCCTAAATGAGATCCATGACAATCATCTTACTACACTTTCCCTGCTATTGAAGGACAAATGCCAGACTTCTAGATCTTGCCCATCCTTCTGTAGATTCTACTTCCCCTTGCTTATCCTCACAGACTCTGGGTAGGAACCACTCAAAGAGTCCACGTGCTGTCTTACATCTCTGTGTCACTCTACATGGGGCTCTCTCAGCTTGAACTGAAGTTCTTTCCCTTGTCTACCTGAAATACTAACCATCCTTTAAGACCTAGGTTAAGCATCCCCTTTTCCCTGCAGCCTGCCTTGCTCCCCATCCCCATATCCCCAATCTTTTAGATAATACTGAACATTTCCTGGTGGGTGCTTTTATTATACTCTTATTTTATTCTTTATCACAATGTACTGTAATCACCTATTTCCCTTTGCCTGAATGGCAAGGACCACGTCTATTCATTGTTGTACAGCACTTGGCACCAAGGTTGCCATGTACAGCTGTTCAGGCTGCACTCTGAGGCAGCCAGCAGTGGCCAAGATCCAGCTTATGTGTTACTTGCCAAGCTCTGCACCTTGGCATGGGGCTACACCTGCCCAGACGAAGGAGAGCCTCTTCTAATGGGCATAAAGCACCATATGGGATCCTGCCAGCTCTGATTAATGTAAGAATTTGATTAATGTTAGTATCCTCTCTCTCCCTTCTTCACCCCTCCATCAGCTGACACCACTGCTCTTGGAGTGTGGCCGAGTATCATCCCAGTCTCCAGATTCTAGTCTCCTCTGGAGCTGTGAAAAGCAAGGAGGCCTCAAGGGGCATCCTTCTTAGGAGGAGAACTCCCCTTGGCTCCTCTTCTATAGAGGTTTTGGTTTGAGGATAAGGTGGTCTCTGTTAAAACTAAACACAGTACATTGCAGCCTTTAAAGGATTAAGTAGCATCTTGGAATCTTAAACCTACAGAACTCACGGGGCTCTTCTGGTCAAGGGATGGCAAACATTAAGCAGGGAGGCCACCTTTTCCCTGTTCTTGGCCATAGTAGACATTGCCAATCAATTGCAGCACTTTCATAAGCTTGGGATGTCTCAGAATCGTCAGCAGGGCATTAACTGTTAGAGTTGACATTTAAAAGAAAACTTCTTATCTTTGACCTAATCCAACTCCATATTTTAAGAATGAGTAAGTGAGAACCTCTGTCCTCTATGACCCTCATCATTCGCCAACTCTGTCCCTTCATCTCTAAACTTGTCCTGGGGTGATTCCCATCTATCATTTCATGAATATTTTCAAATGACCCCTTTCCAGGAAGTCTTTCCTTGGCCATTCCATTCCTTAGAATCAAGTTCTAGATACTCTAACACTAAAAATTTTAGCATGTCTAACTTTAGAGAGCTGCTTCAATTTCCTCACTCCTCAGATGAAGAGTTAAGGTTCAGAGAATGAAGAGAAGTGATTGTCCTGAGGGCAGCTTATAATTGAGCCAGGTAAAGTCCAAATAATCTAACTCCCAGGCCATGGCTTGCTCCACTGTACCTCCTTGTGGCTGATGTTCATTTTTATTAATACTCAGTACCTGGAATCATAGACTTTGGAGTTAAAAATAATCTTCTATAATACTTTTAAAATCTTCCATATAAGACAGAAGTTCCTTTCTCTATGGCTCCATTCTCTGTAGTGTATTAAAGGGATATGTTGAAATCTAGAGAGTTTAGGAAGCAGGAGACAGGTATGGTCGAAAAATACTGAATCTTCATCAGTCACTGCTAATTCACTGCCTAACTCTATGACTTGGGCTCTGGGCGTGGTGGTGCTCATTTTGCTCACTCTTTTATTAATCAAAGCCCTGCCATGAAAATTATATTATACTAACTGACCAGATGATTTAGGGCTCTAGGTTCATCCCCTTTAAATGATGGTTTCCCTTAATCTTTAGAAAACACACAGTCATCTACAAAAAACATTAAGGAATAGAGCAAGACTTACAAGTTAGAGAATTTTTAAAAAAATTTTCCTTTCTACTTCCTGACCTCCTAATTTGAGTGCTTAGAACAGATCAGAAACAAAAACAGACTTCCTGAATACATTTTATCCTAAACACAAATAAAATGAACATGTGGTTAGACTTCTGGAAACTATTTTAAAAATTTGATCCCAAATGTAGAATGGGCTTATAAATGGTTGACTTGGCTAGTGGGTAGATGAGATAATGAAATTAAGAAGTCTTAGAGGATTATCCTGTGTTGTTTCATATAAGAGAAAGATATGCTTCAGCCTCATTGGGCAACAAGTGTCCAGTCAAACTCTTAAGCAAAATGGTCAGGCTTACTGAGGTCTGTTTGCCCTAAACTTACTTCAAATGCATTCTTCCATTGGGTAGATCCTGAAGTCTACCCAAGTGAATGCACTGGTTGAGTTCATGAAACAAACACTGGTGTCCACAAACTGGGCACCTATAAAAGTATCAACGTAGGACTGGTCACTATTTTGGTAGCCAGCTGTCAGTCAGTCAAGGGCTTACAAACTCGAGTTTTTTCATTCTCCAGCTTTCTCTAGCCTGTTATGTCATCCTCATTTTTTTTTTTTTTCCTTTTGGTGAGCTCTGACTTATCTGTCACCTCCTCTTTGAATTTCTCCCTCAGGCCCTGGGCTACAGTTAAGCACCTCTTTTGTGTCCTCATAGAACATTTCACATAACTGTAGCAGATTATCTTTAAAATCTTTGAAGTTACTTTCTTGTGTAGGGAGCTTTCCCCACCACTGAACTGAGGGAGAAAGCTCTGTAATTTACTGCCAGTGTCAATGGCTTATTTACTTTTGTAAGTCCAGCACATAGCAAAGTGCCTGGTACAAAGTAAGCACTAAATAAATACTGGTTGGATAATGCATGAAGGAATAAGTGAGTGAATGAGTAGTCTGATACAAATGCTCTTTCAATTCGTTCATCTGTCTGTGTTCTAGGATCATATTTACTGAATATTACTATTAACTTGATGCTAAGTTCTATACCTTAAGGGGAAGAGTAAGGAGGAAAGTAAGCTCACCCTGCAGGATGTTTTTGCTCCCCCTTGGAGCATAACTGTGTAATACCCCTTCCTTTTTTCTTTGTTTTTTAAGGAAATGTGGTTGCTGACTGCACAGGTATGCTAACTCCTTCATCTGGGTGAGTGAACTCTAAGCAGGTTAAGATCATTTGGGAAACTGAACAAGGTATGATAAGGAAGTATGGAAGCAGCTCTGCTCTTATCATTTAATATCATTCTACATGTGTTTTTTTTTCCTCTGTCAGAGAAATACAGAACATATTTATCCAAAGTGCTGGCGTTATCAGTGTTATGCGTGTATGTGTGTTTCTTATTTCTTCTGCTCCATTGAGTAAAATATTTGAAGTCAGGAGAGTTCAAGATCAAGTTTACTCATTTGTTTGCTTATTTTAGATGCTAGCTTATGTAAAAGGGTGTGACTGATGGAAATCTCTGGGCTCTCCAGGGGAAAACAAAACTGCATGGACTGAAAAAGCAGTGAAACAGTCCATAAACAAAGAACTTGTTCTGAGCTCAAATACGAAGATACTGTTCTTCTTAGAGTCTTAAACTCTTTCTTTTGCCCTTATAAACCAGAAGATCAAGGACAAATGCAATAAAGAAAGCAAGATTATTCCCATAGCAAACTTAACATGCCTCCTCCCTCTTCCCTGGGAGGGGTAAGGATATGGAGTGGGGAGTAAAAAACCCTAAAGGAAATTACACACCTGGGGTCAGCCTTGAGGCCCTCCTTGGAATCTCTCAACCCTTTCTTTTCTTGTGGTTGCCCCACCATGAAAAAGGTGTCCCTGATGGTAGGGAAATCTTCCAGCAGGGCTCTCAGGCTATTACAGTATGCCATAATCTGACCTCGAAGAGCGTAGTGAGACATACGGCAGTTGAACCTGAAAAATGAGAAGAGATGATGTCCAGAAGGTGAATCAAAGTTATTCCACCTTTCCCAAGAGGATCTGCTCCCTAAAAGATCTTTCAAAGATAATAGAGGACCTCATCAGGAAGAAAGTTCTATCTGGGTAAGGGTGAAGGCAGAAGCATGGCACATAGCGCCTCTTCAAAGCGCCTCCCATCCTTCACTTCTGATGTTCTCTGTGTCAGAGGATAGTTTGGTTTGATTTTATCCAAGAGAATTGTGTTTATTTAAGAACAAACCACCTGACTCATTGTCTGGATTTCTATATAACACTGCAGTTTATTGAATTGAGTCAGAGAAATCAGCATATGTTGTTCACATATACCATACTTACTTCTGACAATATTCAACTATAACATCTCTCTTGACTTTACCAATTTCATCCTGTAATAAAAGAGAATGATAGTTCTTCTATTAGATGGTTGGCTATAAAAATTCTCCATCCTAGTACACGTATACAAACTTCTAACAAAGTAGGAAAAGGCTGCACAGTTGACATATTCTTTCTGAAGGCCAACTTGCTGAGAGAGAACTCCATGGTTCTCTCCTGCTCCTGCACACCTTGTTGAGTATGCCCGGAATGCAAGGCCTTGACCACTCTACCTGGGCCATTTATCAGGGTTCTGTTTGCAAAGAGCAACTTTGAAGGATGAGGTAATGTCTTCCTTCAGGAAAAATAGCAAGCCTGCCATAAAAAGAGGTGGATCCCTTAAGCTCAATGTTATGCAACTGTGACCAAAAAACAAAAACAAAAACAAAAACAAAAAACAAAACCCACTGCATACATCTAGTTTCCTCCATGTTGCCCCCTTGGGACTTGGGAGGCAGAGGGAACTGACACAAATAGGAAACTCATGTCACCCGCTCTGCTGTGAGTCATAAAGTTCTTTGTCTCTGATCTAGGAGTCTTGTGTTTTCTAATCTGATAGGCCTTGGATAATCCTGAAGAGGAGTTAATGAGGTATAACATTTTTCACTTGGTCAATATTTTTTAATATGATAGTAAAAAAAGGTAATTAAATATCTCAATAACTTATTAAAATGAGTCCTTTGCATCCATTATTGCTCAGCAGTAATCTAGAAGTCTGGCCTCCCTCACATCACATTTATAGAACTGGATTAGGGAAATTTAAGTCTTTCCTTTTCAGTCACAGATAGGGAAGAAACCTAGAGACAGTAAACCTGTGATTTCTCTCCCAAATAACTATGTATTAGCCTAATGACTTTCTTGTCAAAAAATTAATGAGTAATGAAATCATATTCACAAAATTAAGCAATACTTTTAACTGATTATGGACTTGAATTTTATATTTTCCAACAGAGTAAGCTGGTATAAATAGAAACATGGCACTAACATCTGGAAATCAGATAACATATGAATTAGATAGTTAAGAGCCCTTGCTCACCTTGTCTAAACCCCATGAACATCTGTGGGTCACTCAAGAGTGGGCTAATGTTCCAGAGCAGGTGCTGAAACTAGTTCCGTTTAGAAAGTGACAAAATAAAATGTGGTCTTGGAAAAGATGTGCATATTTTTAAAACTAGAATGCAATCAGCTTGAATTACTTCCTTTCTACTTATTGAGTTTCCTTTTACAGTTCCTTATATTTTCAATAGTCCTATCCAAATAGGCTGAAAGCAACAGATTACAAGTTAAGAATTTTTATTTGCTCAAGTGTAAAAGATAATGAGAGCTTTAGGGAGCCCTTCTCACTAAACTCACAAAGCTCTTCATTCTGTCGTCCATGGTTTGTTTCTTGAGGAGGAAGGTGTTCAGCATCATGTCCCGCAGCCCCACCTTTTCTAGTTGAATAGACACAAAAGCCTCCGGAGCCCTGATAAATGAACAGAGACATCTGAGCCCAAGGCAGGAAGTAAGTGGACATATAATAAAAAAAATAGCTCAAGAGCTTTTCCTGGAGGACAGGTAGCCTGGGGCTAAGTGCTGGGCATTGCAACAGGAGAGCAGGTGGCTCTGTCACCATGGTTCTCATCTTCTTCAGATGTTCTAATTGTATTCACTAAAGATGCTGATGTGTCACCACCCTCCTTGGGGCCCCCATGTGCCTGAAGCATGTATCAGCAGTCCCTCCTCTGTCCTCAACTTCATGGCCTGGCTCAGTGTTTGTACTACTCAGGTCCCTTTGTGCCTCCTGGTCTCTACACAGGGGAATGTGGACTGAAGCGGCTTCCCAAGGGTCCTCTTGACTAGACATATGGGTCTTAAATCTTCCATCCACATTTTGGGAATGTGAACCTAGGGTATTTGAACTTGGCCATATGTCAGATTAATGACATCTTTAGTAGTAGAGTAGTTTTGTGCTTTTTTTTTCCATTTTAAATTTGCTAGAATTAAACTATCATTGGAAATACTCAGAATGTTTATTATTGAATACAAATATCTCTCTTTCTCTGTCATGGTGAAAAGAGATGAAGACACAGGACATTTCTGATTTATAGCCATCTCTCTGTAGAGGCTATACCTCTCTGATCGTGCGGCACCTATCATCCTAAGCAATGGTAAAACCCTTGTTAGAATGGTGAGGGTAGTTCTGTGCTTTTCAGTTTAAGATAAACATGGAAAATTTGGAGAGGCCCATATTCTTCTTCCTTGTATTCTGTCTGTTGAAATATATAGAAAGAGGGAAGACAAGAGAAAGGAGCAAAGAGGTTGAAATAAGGAACCACTGACTCTTCATAAACTGCATATTGGAAGGAGTTGAGCCTTCTCAGTGTTCACGCAAGGTCTTCAAAACTAAACACATGCTGATCACTTTGGGAATTTAGGCATCCTTTAATCCCATAATATTATGTTATTAATTGGCTTAAAAGAGGACACTTTTGTTACTTTAAACAAACCCCTAGTGCATGCAGTACCTTTTGGTAGCATGGAATTTTTCTGAAGGATAAGTAAGGTTGTCTGGAACTTTTGAAGTTGGGGCTAACAGTAAGTTCTCTACGCCATTCACAATTTTGGAATTTCTTCTTCTGGCTGGACCCATTCCACCATTTCTCAGATATGAACTCATTTCCTAAAATGTTTTAAACCAAAGTGAATTAAGTTTGTTGGATTTGTAAGGCTTATAGTATTGACTGCAAAATTATCTCATAGCCACGCTGACCCCAAACACATGTGAAATGCCTTCGTACATGTGATGGGGACGGGCTGGAGTGGAAGAGAGAGAAGGGAAACAGAGGGGAGGAGAGGAGACAGTAAGAGAGGGAAGGGAAGGGTACAACGTAGGAGTGAGGCAGTAAGTGTAACTACTTCCAGAATAAAATGCAGTTGTCTAAATGGCCCTGAAAAAAAAAATTCTCCATTCTACAAGGTAGCTAGTTGGAGTGCTCTGTACAGAGTGGCCTCTCAGGAAATACTGCTGATGGACTTCATGGTTACAAGATCTGAAAAACTGAGGCAGGGTGCCCACTGCGGTTCAGCCTAAGCAAATGGAGGTAGGCTATACATGCTCCCACGCACAATGTAATGATAAGGAGAGAGAGGAGGGAGGGTGTGGAAGAAAAACTTTCCTTGGCATTTTGTTGTGGCAGCCTAAGTGGACAGATACAGGAGCAGCACATGCACGCTGCTTCTATACTTCTATCACCCTCTCATTCCTAAACTCTGACAGCCTTACTTTGAAGCAATCTTGCTTTCAACCCCATTAGAAATGCTCTCTCAGTCAGTAATAAGCTTTTGAGAATGTCAAATGGCCCCATTTTAATCCCTGCTCTTCTGGTTCTTCCCTCTACATTTAACTCTGTCAGCTTTCAACTACTTACTCTTTTTTTCCTCTTCTTTTAAAAATGATAGCTTTACTGAGATATAACTGACATTTAACAAACAGTACATATTTAAGGTGTACAATTAGATAAGTTTTGGCACATGTATACAACTATGAAATCACCACTGCAATCAAAATAGTGACCATCCCATCCATCTACCCCCCTTCTTCAATCAACCACTGTTCTCTGCTTTCTCCAACAATAGATTAGAATGCATTTTCTAGAATTTTATAAAAATGGAGTCATGCAGTGTGTACTCTTTTCTTGGTATGGCTTCATCCATATTGCTGTAGATCTCAATAATTCATGTTTGTTTTGCTGAGTAGTATTCCATTATGAGGATATACCACAATTTGTTTATCTATTCACCTGGTGAGAAACAGTTGAGTTCTTTCCAGTTCTTGGCTATTTTAAATAAAGTTGTTATTAACATCTGTTTATATGCTTTTTTATGAACATGTGTTTTTATATCTCTTGGGTAAATACCTAGGAGTGGAATGGCTGGATCATATGGTAAGTGTATGTTTAACTTTGTAAGAAACTATCAAAATGTCTTAGTGATTGATATTTTGCATTCCCTTCAGCAGTGTATGAAGGTTCCAGATCTTGCAGATCCCTGCCAATACTCAAAATGGTCAGTCTTTTAAATTTTAACCATTCTAATGAGTAGTTTCTCACTGGAGCAATTTGCATTTCTCTAACAACTAATAGTTTTAAACACCTTTTTATATATTTATTTACCATATGTACATCTTGTTTGGTCACACATTTCTTCTTGAAACACCTCCTTTGGTTTTGGTAGCAGTGCACAATTTTTGTTCTTTCTCTCTCTCCTTCCCTCTTCCCTTCCCTCATTTTCTCTTGTTCCCTTTCATTGTCTCCATTATTTATTCCTCCTTATTGTAGCATCAGTCGTCTTCCTGTCCCACACTTGTAGGAGAGCACATAAATACACATCTACACATATATTTCTAGATATTCACATACATTACTCTATATTCATGTATTACTGTATTTATTCACATATTCATATATATGATATATAATAACCCTAATGTCTTCCTACCTCTGCCCTCATGCTCCAATTCAGTGATTTCAGCATTTGCTTCTTAAATGGATTTAGGAAATAGACTCTCCTCTCACTCCCCATTTCAACAAGAATAACCCCACTTATATCTGTTTTATATATTAGTATTCTTCATAAGACTAAAGTAATTATTTTTTAAAAGTATTTTATTTATTTATTCATGAGAGACACACACACAGAGAGAGAGAGAGAGAGAGAGAGAGAGAATGGTAGAGACATGGGCAGAGGGAGAAGCAGGCTCCATGCAGGGAGCCCGACGTAGGACTTGATGCAGGGACTCCAGGATCACGCCCTGAGCCGAAGGCAGGCACTCAACTGCTGAGCCACCCAGGCTGCCCAGACTAAAGTAATTAAATAACGAATTCCTCATGTCAACTATGTATGAAAATCACCAGTGGTGGTCAATCTAGGCTCCTCATTTTTATCTAGTACCCATCTGCCCTTTCTTGCATCCTATGCCTGAGCTATCTGAAGGGTCTTCTCTCTGCCTGTCTAAAAGGTCATCTTTCAGGTTTTCCTGAATGCCCCCCCCCCCCGCTGCCCTTCCTGGTTCCCCAGATATGACCTCTTTTTTCTTTAGATGCCTTCTATATTTTCTTGAACCTCTTAAACAACTGGTGAGCCTGTTCCCCTTATATATACTGGTCTATAAGTTCCTCAGGAGCATGAATTGTGCCTCAGTATTATCTGATAAGCCTAACTTATAGGAGGTACTGAATTAAGATTTGGGGGGGAGGGTGAGATTTTAAAAATTAATATAACTCATTCTATCCTTATTTTCTACTTCAGTACTTAATTTCTATAGGAATTACTGTTTGACAGTGGAAACGAGGAATGAGTATTCTTGCCATACTCATAAATTTGGACTCTCCCATTAACATGAAGAATAGAAATAAATAGAGGTTGACAAATGTGATAAGGGGTAAATATGGTGAGCTGTATAGAATCTATAAGATTCAAAGAACGTTAAAAGACCACCTGGAAAATTGCTTTCCTAAAACTATGTTTCATTTTACTAGTGAACACACACACACACACACACACACACACACACACACACACACTATACTATTGTTTTAAAAAGTGGGGGAAAGTCTCTATGAACTGATTTAAAGTGATTTCCAGGATATACAGTTACGTGAGAAAACAAAGTCCAAATGAGTATATATAAATAAAACCCAAAACTCCTTTATGATGAAATCATTCAACAAACTAGTAATAGAGGGAAATATCCTCCACCTATAAAAGGCACCTATGAAAAACCTGTAACTAAATCATAATTAGTAGTAAAAGATTGAAAGCTTTCTCCTTAATATCAAGAATATGGTAATAATATCCACTCCTGCCATTTCTATTTCAGCCTTGTACTGGAGGGTCTAGCTAGGGTAATTAGACAGGAAAATGAAACAAAGGCATCTAGATTGGAAAGGAAGAAGTGAAATTATTTCTATTCGCAGATCACATAATCTTGTATATAAAAAATCCTAAGGAGGGGAGTCTGGGTGGCTCAGTTAGTTAAGCATCTGCTTTTGGCACAGATCATGATCTCAGGGTCCTGGGATCAAGCCCTGTGTCAGGCTTCCTGCTCAATGAGGAGTCTGGTTCTCCTTCTCCCTCTCTCCCTACTGCTTGTACTCTCTGTCTCTAAAATAAATGAAATCTTTAAAAAAATCCTAAGGAATACATACATACAAGTAAACTATTAAAACTAATAAACTAGTAAGGTGGCAGGATACAGGATCAATATACAAAAATCAATTGTAATTCTATACATTAGCAATAAACACTCTGAAAATGAAGTTAAGAAAACAATTCCAAAAAAAAAAAAAGAAAAAAGAAAACAATTCCATTTATAATAATATAATAAAAAGAATAAAATATTTTGGAATTCATTTAACAAAAGAAGTATAAAATTATACACCAAAAACTGCAAAATATTGTTGAAAGAAATCAAAAGATCTAAATAAATAGAAAGACATCTGTGTTCATGGATCAGAAAACTTGAGATGGCAACTATATCCAAAATGATCTACAGATTCAATGCAATCCTTGTCAAAATGTCAAATGGTACTTTTTATGTGTTTACAGAAATTGACAAAGTGATCCTAAAATTTATATGAAAATACAAGAGACTCACAATAGCAAAAGCAATTGAAAAAGAAGAACAAAGTTGGGGGGCTCACACTTCTTAATATCAAAACTTAATACAAATCTACAGTAATCAAAACAGCAGTAGTAATAACATAAAAATAGACCTATAGAGCAATGGAATAGAATTCATTGCCCAGAAATCCACTCTTACATTTATGGTCAATTGATTTTTGACAAGGTGTCAAAACAATTCAATGGGGAAAGATGAGTTTTTTCAACAAATGGTGCTGTGACAGCATACCACATGCAAAGGAATGAGGTTAGACCCTTTCCTCATATTATATACAAAAATTGGGTTGGCTGGGTGGCTCAGCAGTTGAGCACCTGCCTTCAGCCAGGGCATGAATCTGGGGTCCTGGGATCGGGTTCTGCATCAGGCTCCCTGTTTGGAGCCTGCTTCTCCCTCTGCCTGTGTCTCTGCCTCTCTCTGTGTGTGTGTGTCTCTCATGAATGAATAAATAAAATCTTTTAAAAAAAAGAAAAAAACCCAAACCAAAAATTAACCATAAATAGACCTAAATGCAAAAGCTAAAACTACAAAACTCTTAGAAGAAAACAGAGGAGTAGATCTTTGTGACTTTGGATCCAGCAATGATTTCTTAAATATGACACCAAAACAATAAGTGACAAAAGAAAGACTAGTGAATTGGACTCATTGAAATGAAAAACTTCAGCTTCAAAGGATACCATCAAGAAAGTGAAAAGATTGGCCTTAGAATGGGAGAAAATATTTGCTAATCATATAATTGATAAGTACACATATACTGATACTTGTATTCAGAATACATAAATAACTCTTACTATTCAATAATAAAAAGACATATTCTATTTTTTATAAATGGCAAAGAATTTGAATAGAAATTTCTCCAATGAAGATATATAAATGGCCAAAAAGCACATAAAAAGATGTTCAATGTCATTAGTAATTAGAGAAATGTAAATCAAAACCAATAAAGTACCATTTTACTCCCAATAGGAAGGCTACAATAAAAAAAAGAGACACTAACAAGGGTTAGCAAAACTCAAAACATGTGTCTTTGCAAAAACCTGCACATGAATGTTCACAGCAGCATTATTCATAATAGCTAAAAAGTAAAAACAGCCCAATGTCTGTCAACTGATGAATGGATAAACAAAACGTGGCCCATCTATACAATGAAATATTATTCATCAATAAAAAGTAATGAAGTACTGATACATGCTATAACATGGATGAAACTTGAAAACATGCTAAGTGAAAAAAATCCAGATACAAAAAGCCATATGTTGAATGATTCCATTTATGTGAAATATCCAGAACAGGCAAATCTATAGAGCCTGAAAGTAGATTACTGTTTGCTAGGGGCTAAGGGAAAGGGGGTGGAATGGCGAGTGACTACTAATGGGTACAGGATTTCCTTTGAAAGTGATGAAAATGATCTGGAATTAGATAATGGTGATGGTTACATGATCTTGTGAATCATATACTTTAAAAGGGGTAAATTTTATGTTATGTGAATTATGTCTCAATAAGAACCAAAGAAGTCTGGGGGAAAAAGGGGTTATACACTGTGTGTTACCTTTTGTAGAAAAAAGAAGGGACTAATGTCTCCATTTACTTTTGCAAAAAGACATGCAGGAAGAATAAAACAGAAAACAATAAAATCATTTATCTACAAAGGGTAGGGGTGGAGGAACAGGATATTTTCTGCTGGATGATTCTTCCTAGCCAATATTCTAGAGTTATACACGAAGAAAAAAGTTGTTAGCAAATCACTAAAAATTAAGAGAGTTGGTAAAGATTTGGACATGTGTTGACTTCACATGAGGAAAGGAGGGAAAGAGTGAAGGAAAGAGGGTAAAAAAATAGAAAAGAAGGGAGAAAGAGAGGGAGAGAAGAGGAGGAGAGGAAGGAAAGAAGGGAGGAGAAAGGCGGCAGGCTAACGGGAAGAAGGGGCTGAAGGGGTAGCTTGGCATTGGCTGTCGTAGTGGTAGGCATGTCAAACATGCCTCAGGTTTTTGTATCTTACAGGCTGACCTTCACATCAGCAGGAGAGGCCCATCGGGGCATGTGATAGAAGGATGCCTGTTGGACAGCCACCATCAAAGCATTTTTCTGAGCCGCTTGGCATGCAAGGGTCACTTGCATATTTTCCACTCCTGAATGGAATAAGAGCTAAAGAAAGAAAATGTGAAGGTTAGTAGGAATTTTGGCCATAAAGAGGAGATGAAGTTGAGGATTTGAGATCACCACCTATTTAACATGTAAACATATGAATCAAACTGCAGGATGATCTGAGATCCTTGCTTCTCAGCCACAGGACTGAATCTGGTCTCTCTCTAAGCACCATTTCATACTGGGAAGGCAGCCTCCAGGCCTGATTTGCTCTGTAGCTAGTGACCATCAGGTTTCTGATCAGAAAAGGGTGAGTAGGCTCTGACAAACTAGCAAACATGTGCTCAGTGGCAGCCTTTTAAAGCTACCAAGATTAGGTTAATGCTTAAAAAATACAGGGGTGCCTAGGTGACTCGGTTAGGTAAGCATTCAACTTCGGCTAAATAAGGTAAGGGTATCATCATTACTTATGAAGTTAGAAGCCTCTCTTCAACATGGGAGCCAAACGTATATGAATTGCAAATTGCTTAATTTTACTTTAGTGTCTTTAAAAAACACAATTTACCTTAAGGATGGATTCCTTTGTATAAAAGCTAAACTTGCCAACCTGGTTATCATCCACCTCAGAGATGGCTAAGACAAGAGTAGTAGGAGAATATCTGCAAGAAGAAACATGACATTGTTCCGATGTACCATGACATTGGTCAAGACGTGCTCATTCCGATGGGACATCAGCAATGATAGCAAGTGCAGATGTTACACAAGACTTGATATTTCTGCTCAAAGCCTGAAGGGCTCTGGGGTCTTTCAATCCTTGTTGGACTTGATCTGTCTGCAGTTTCCTTGTGGTGATCACCAACTCCGAATTCTTTTCTCCTGATCCCCATTCCACTGTTTTATCTTGTTTCTCTTTGTACCTTCAACCTCATGTCCTCAGGCTCTTCACTGACTCAAATCCCTTTGTCCATTCCCTAAAAGCTGTCCAGTTTTTGCTCTCTTCCATTGTCCCAACAATTACCTAAATGTTCTTTGCAACCACGTTTATGCCCTGGGATATAGTCCTTTGTCCGTACCTATGAGACTTTGTTGAGTAATTTAATATCTATGAATCTCAGTTTGTTCATCTGTAAAGGGAGATAATACCTATCTCATAGGGTTATGGCAAATATTAAGTGGGATAATATCCACAAACGTGCTTTTTAAAATGTAAGCCACTTGCTCATGTTTGATATATGTTGTTATAACAACACTCCAAAGTGGCAATTTTGAGGGATTAACATACATAAAAGCAAATTCAAGAGACAAGATCCTTGGATACATAAACCTTCCCTAGGTAATTCAGAAGGCTCCCCAGATCTTGCAGGATCTTTTGGGTCATTGTTGGGAAAACCAATCACAACTTGACCAGGCCACAGATCATTTGGGCACTTTGTGCTGATTGGTTGATTCCAGTTGAACAAAAATATGCCCTGTTTTACATCAGTATAAAATACCAGCTCCAACAGGAGGCCCTTGAAGAGCCAGAGAATAACTTGGCTCCAGGTTGGAGATGCAGCTAGCCTTGCCTGAGGTCCAATCACACTTCCTTCCTTCAGTTTCTGTAGACATCTCTATATCCTTATTATAGGAAAAGTTTTCAATTAGCAATAATCGCGCCTCGGATAAACCTCATTGGCTACGATACTGCCACTGTGCAAAGCTCTATATCCTTATTATAAATTCTCTTTTTGGTTTAGCTAGTGTGACAGGATGAAGCAGGAAATATTTTGCCTCCAGGAAACTTTTGGCAGTGTCTGGAGACATTTTTGATTGTTACAAATGGGGAGGAGAAGGGGTACAACTGGCATCTGGTAGGTAGTGGTAAGAAGTGTGGATAAACAACCTCTGCTGCACATGACAGACCCCTATAAGAAAGAGTTATCCAGCCCTAAATTTCAATAATGCCAAGGTTGAGAAACTTTAGGATACCATATTCTATGATCCTAACCCATCTCAGCCCCCAGTCTCTTTGGAGAAGAGAGGAGTTCTTTAACGTATTAACACATCAAAGTTACATTTTGAGCACTGATCCACACTAGAAAAAAAAGGTGATTTTTTTCCTCCTTGGAGTCATCTTTGCTTTCCTTGGGGTGGGGCCAGTACCAGGAATCTCCAGGGATAGAGCTAGGACCCTCAAGGGAAGGGCAGACTAGAAGAGAAGGAAAGAAGAGGGAGACAAGTTTCTCCTCAGCACACATCAAAGGCTGACTCTGCAAGGAGGAAAAAGATTCCTTTCCGTGACTAAGTAGACTCATGACCTGTTACTGTTAAGAGTGTTTTCTTTCCAGAAATGAGTTGAACCTATGGGGCATAAAGAAGTTTCACTGCTTTAAATCCATCTGTTGCTGGCCAACAAGAGTCTGACTGCCATACATGTTAGATTTGCACATTGTATTAGAAATGCAATGTTCAAGGAAACAGCTGCTCAAAAAACTTGACTGACTTCTTCCTGGTCTCAGGGTAAGTGGGAGAAGGGATCTGGACTTCTGATACATGGTTCTTGCCCCCTGAGACAAACTCTCACACCCCTTTTTTCCCCAGAAGCAACAAAGTCAACCTGGCAGCCCCTGAGCCTGTGATTCTATCTCACTTGAGCTCTCTGATCCAGTTCTTCTATTTCTCAGTGTTTTTAAATTCAATTATCCCCCTTCATTGAGATCTATTTCCCCCTTTCAGTAAAAAAAAAAAAAAATAGCATCATGGCAGATAGAATATAAGAGAGGGAATTTAGAAATACATTGCATTTGCGTGTCCAGTGTGGGAGAAATTATTTTTCACTGACTGTTCATTCTACCATTACATTATTTTTACTTTGACTTTCTCAAGGCTCACCTGTCCACTCGATCACTGTCCTCCAGCAGAGAGGTGATAAAGACAGGGGGTGGATGGTCTATTTTGTCCTTGTGTGATGCAAATTCAAAGTGAACAGGCCTCAGATACAAATGGAACTCTTCAAAACCCATCTCCCGTGCCAGTACCTTATAGAGACTAAAAGGGAGAGGGAGGCAGATAAAGAACCAAGAGCATTTACCATTATTTTCCACTAAAAGAAAAGTGGTGAGAAAACCAAAAAATCTGAATAAGCAGAAAAACAAAAGTCAAAACAAGAGTAAGCCAAGTCTGGTATAAAGTGAATGAGTCACAAATGTCTTGCATCTAGTCTATGCTATAGCAGTTAAAGATAGCAATTAAAGTAGGAGGAGATGTGCTTGGGCACTTCCTCAACTTTCATTTCCTGCAAGCTGGCTTCTGTCCTCAGAGTGCTCATGGGGTCACCAATACTGCTTTCAATACAAGGTTCACTATTTTAGCTCAGAGCTCTTCACAGCTGGTCTCTGTCCTCTCTTTGGGGAACATCTTTGCACTCTTGGATGCTGGATCTCCATGCTCTTACCTCATGATCACGATCTCTTGGTCTTCATTGGCTTCTCTTCCTCTTTACTTTCAAATCCTAGTATTTCCTGGGGTTCCAAACCCAGCCCGCTTCTTATCTTCTCTGTCCCTCCTTGGGGAGTTCATCTTCCAACCCTCTACCCTAACAATCACCCCCTAGTGTAAGAACCTGTGCTCCTACCTCTGTCCTGTACCAACTCTGAGCTCTACTCTCACATATACATGGCTTGCAGCAAGGCTCCTTTCAGATGCCCCTCTGGCATTTCAGCCTTCAAAGTCTAGAATGTCTTCCCTTCCTTTCACACTCACATTCTAACACTCTCTTCCATTTTGAAAAGTCGGTACATTAAGGCTGACTTCAAATGGCACCTCTATTAGTTTGCTAGGATTCTGTAACAAAGTACTGCAAACAGAAATTTGTCTCACAGTTCTGGAGGCTAGAAGTCTGAGATCAAGGTGTTGACAGGGTTGGTTCCTTCTGAGGGCCACAAGAGAAGGATCTCTTCTTGGCCTCTCTCCTTGGCTTATAGATGGCTGTCTTCTGCTTGTGTCTTCACACCATCTTCCTTCTTTGTGTCTCTGTTCAAGTTTCCTCCTCTTATAGGAACACCGGTCATATTGGATGAGAGCCCACCCTAATCATTTCACTTTAACTTGATTCCCTCTGTAAAGACCCTACTCCCAAATGAAGTCACATTCTGAGGTAGTGGGGATTAGGACTTGAACATATGAAGTTGCCAGGGGACACAGTTCATTCCTCAACAATGCCTCTTTTATGAAACTTTCTTTGATCCACTTACAAAGAATGAAATATTCCATTTTCTGAGCTCCCACAGTATTTTAGTTGTACGACTAAAATATCAGATTAAATTGTAGCAGAACTAAATTTTTAAACTTTTAAATTGTGAGCTCCCTGAGATCAAGGATCAGAAATTATGGGGAGGTAGTATCATAAAGATTAATACATATCTTTACTAATAGATTGAATTCTGCTCCTACCATTTTCTAGTTATATGATCTTAGGCAAATTACCTAACTTTTTGAGCCTCTACTTCCTTGCTAGTAAAATAGTAGTAAGCTACCTCTTAAGGATATTCCAGAAATTAAATGAATGAATACATATAAAGTTCCCAGTACAGACCCTGGCCATAGCAGGCCCTCGGTAATGGCTGGTGGTAAATGACTGGACCCTTTAGGTCTACAGGGCTTCTCGTGGGGACTAGAACATAATAGAACTCATACATGTTTGCAACAAACCCTTTAACTCCGTATCTTTCCTGCTTATAGTCCACCTGCACTTTGAGGTCTTCCCATCACCTCACACTCATACCTAAAACCTAACTCTTTAATCTCTCTCTGTCTCTCCCTACCTGCTGACACTTCCAAACCTCTGTCAGGCCTGGTTACTGTAACTGACTCATCCCTTTCCTCTTTCTAGTACTTCTAGTGCTTCTGCTCTGCTATTCAACTTCATCATAATCCAGTAAATATTCAGAGTGACTATGTAGGTCAGGCCTCACACCAGGTTGTGGGACACCATGGAAAATAACATGGACAGTGTTTTTGCAATCAGGGAGCTTACACCAGCAGGAAGACTGATAAACTGGTATGAAGCACCTAACTGAAAGGCAATGTGCAGAACGGAGAAGATGCCCAGGTGCAGGTGGATGACCTAGGTTAGCTAAGTGGTCAGAGAGGTGTGAAGGGAGGCCTGGGCGGAGAAGGAACAAGGTGGTCATTTCAGCCATTTATAAAGCTCTCTCCGGCTGCTCTGGGGCACAGAGGGAACTCAACCTGTAGGTAGGGAAATTTGTGGCCTGTTCACCCCATCTGGATCCTCAGTCCCCCTACTGACCCAGCTAAGTGTACACTCTCCAAACTCATTTCTATCAGCCGGTGGCGGAGGGTCACAAGCTCCAGAAGTTTGGAAAACGTCTCCAGAAGCAGCACATGAGAATCTTGGCTTTGGTTCTGTCCTTCGTCTGCTGCAGACTTGAGTGCAAGCAGACCTATCTCCTCCACGAGAAAGGGATCTCCCATTACTTTAGCTGAAAACAGCTGAAAGAAAACAAAGTGTTTTTTTAAATATAAAAGAAGAAAGTTCACATATGAAGAAAAATACTATCAGTGGCATAGCCTCTGGAGCCAGATATCCTCAGTTCAAGTCCTGGCTTTGCCACTTATAAGGTGTGAAATTTGCTATCTCTCTGCAAAGGGGGGATAAGAATAGTAACAGTACTTAAGTGGAACAAGTAGATAATAATTACCTAATAGGGTTATGGAGAGAGTTAAGTTAGTTAATGGAAACAAAAGTGCCTGGTATGTAGTATTTGCGCTTATCATTTTTGTAAGTATTTTAAGCCAAAATAAAGAATAGAAGTCCCTGATATTTTCCAAGTATTTTAGAGGCCAATAATAATAATTTCCTATAAGCTCTTCTAACTGCAGTGTCAAAATTTCAAAGTGTTTTCACATGTATTACCTCATTTCTATATTCATAAGATCCCCATGAAGTAGGAATCACAGGTGCCATTTTCCATTTTATCAGTGAGAAATCTGAGGCAATACTGAAACTTTCCAAGGTCACACAGCAGTACCAAGAGTAAACGTACACTTCCTAGTTCCAAGTTCAACAGTTTTACAGTATGCTAAACTGCCTTCACAGTGCTCATCGTGGGAGAACCTGCTTTGGGGAATTTTTGAAATAACCTCATTGTTCTTTAACTCCCTCCCTCCACAGCGGGCTCCTCTGCTCTGACATCTTTGCTACCCTCTCACTTACTCCCCGCAGGGACCCAGTCTGGGAAGCCCTGAATCTGCCTTTCCTGGCGTGGCTCCCTAAGGGTGCACAAGCTCCCTTGTCTGCCCACTTATCTACCACAGGCTTTTTCTACTCAAAGATGCCATTTCTTGATTCTTGAAGTCTTTCAAAGTGATAAAGAAATCTATTAAGCTAATTTCTGCATGTCCTTTAAGGGCAATACCGGCCCCATTTTTTGGCCCAATACCAAAGGTTAATCTGAGTATTTATCATTTCTAGTTACAAATTTGAACACATTTCAAAAACAATAATAATTAAAACTGGTATGGCATCAGTGGGAAACTAGACAGGTATCTCAAATATTCACTATGACTTATAAGAGAATTTAAAGTACATTTTAAAAATCTGGTACCATAATACAATGTGAAAAGAATCTGCAACAGGTGGTAGTAAGATACATGACTGATAATTTTGAGCCATACTTCATACCTGCCTCTCTCACTCTCTCTCTCTCTCTCTCTCTCTCTCTCTCTCTCTCTATCTATCTCTCTCTCTCTCTCCCTCCCTCCAGGTAGAATACTAAAGGAATTAAGTATTTTTAAAATGAAATCAAAACCTTAAGAAATTAGAATAAAGTAAGACAAAAACATGTGGAAAAAGATTTGCTTTCTGGATTTAGGAGGACAGAAGAAATCACAAAGGAAAAGATCAACAGATCTTACTACATAAAAATAAAGTTAAAAGATAAAAAGACAAGTTGGGAGAAATATTTGCAGAAAATATGATGGACAAAAGGGTTAAAGTTTTTCATTTAAGAGAGCTCATATAAGTAGATAGGAATAACATTAGTATTCTAAGAGATAAATAATGGGAAAGAACAGAAGATGCACAAAGATATACAACTTGTAACAAAACATCTGGAAGGAGATTTAGTCTCGACAAATGCCAAGGAAATGAAAATTAATAGTGCAATGCTACCTGTTATGTATATAGAAAGCTATATTCATATTTATATAAATATGTATAGAGAGACATTATATGTTTACACCTAATGCTGCACAGTGCAGCAGAATTGGTACTCTTTTAAAATTACTGGTGGCGGGACACCTGGGTGGCTCAGTGGTTTAGTGCCTGCCTTTGGCCTAGGACATCATCCTGGAGTCTCAGGATCGAGTCCCATATCAGGCTATCTGCATGGAGCCCGGTTCTTCCTCTGCCTATGTCTCCGCCTCTCTCTCTCTCTCTCTCTCTGTGTGTGTGTGTGTCTCATGAATAAATAAATAAAATCTTTAAAAAAAAAATTACTGGTGGCATTATAATTTGCCACAACTCTTTTGGAAAACAATCTGTCAATCTGCATCCAAAGACTTACATTTTGTTTCAGTAGTTCCACTTCTGAGAGTCTATCAAAAGGAATTTATTTAAAATATGGAAAAATCAGTGGTATCTGGGTGGCTTAGTCAGTTAAGTGTCTGCCTTTGGCTCAGGCCCTGATCTTGGGGTTCTGGGATGGAGCCCCACGTTGGGCTCCCTGTTCACCAGAGAGTCTTCTCTCTCTCTTTTTGCCCTTCTCCCTGCTTGTGCTTCTCTCTCTTTCTCTCAAATAAATAAAATCTTTAAAAAAATAAAAAATAAAATAAAATATGGAAAAATCTGTAAGCATGGAGATGTGCCTTGTAACATTTTTAATAATAATGAAAAATTAGAAACTATGTGAACGTCCAACAATAGGGAAATAGTTGGGTAAGTCATGATTCATCCCTTAAAGGAATTTTACTTACAAAAGTGAGTGTAAAGACTAGTTAGCAATATGGAAAAATATATAATACAATGTTAACTAAGAAAAACAGAAGATGGGGTAGGAAGGATATGATTTTAACTATGTAAAACATGTATATGAAGAATATTTGAATTCAGAAAAAATAATTATTGTGAATGCATTTGAGTGATTAGATTTAGGCTAATTTTTTTTTGCTTAAATTTTGATTATTTTGATCAATTTAAAATTAATTAAAATAAAATAAAATTTTAGTTTGTGCAAGAGGGAATAGGAAGCCAAGGCAGACACATGGAAGGGATATTTTTGGCAGCTGGGACCCTTGAAAGTTCCTTCATCATACAGCATGTACTCACACAGTGTAAGGTCAAATTGGAACTCTAGGTTCAACTGTGATAGCCTTAACAGAAAAAGAAAAGAATTAAAATCTAACTACAAATGCCATGTAAGTCATTAGGCCACAGTTTGAACCCACAGAACATTAGAGTTAAAAGGGGCTTTAGAGACCATCACACTCACTTCCATCCTTCTCCCTTCAAATACACAAAAATAATGTTACAAAATAGGAAAGGGAAACTCAGAGAGGCTAGGAGACTTGTTCAGAGTCATGCAGCAAGTTAATGGCAGGGCTGAACTTGAGTCCAGGTTGCTAACTTCTCACGCAGCACTCACTCTTCTCTACCAGATCTCGGCTCAGGACAAAAAGAAGGAATTTCGGGAAGAGTTTTAGTGGAAATAAAATATTTAACTTTAAAAAAATACATATTTTATTTAAATTCAATTTGCCAACATATAGTATAACACCTAGTGCTCATCCCATCAAATGCCCTAAAATATTTAACTTTTAATTGAAAATGTATATTGTTGGGGTGCCTGGATGGCTCAGTTGGTTAAGCGTCTGCCTTTGGCTCAGGTCATGAACCCTGGGTTCTGGGATCAACCCCTGCATTGGGCTCCTTGCTCAGTAGGAGAGCCTGCTTCTCCCTCTCCTTCTGCCTCTCCCCTCCGCTCGTGCGCACACACTCTCTCTCTCAAATAAATAAGTAAAAATCATTTTTTAAAAAATGTATATTGTTAAAATATAAATAATAAGCCAGAAAACATTTCCCACATACCTATGTACATCTCCCTTCTAAATTGTCACAGCATCCTGATAAACTAGAAATTTAAACCAAAAATGAAAAAAGAATTACATAAAAATGTTGGCAAGGCCTAAGACTATGATCTGTCTCTGGCCAAACAGAGGAGGAATAGAGCCAAACAGAAAAACAAAGCTAACTAGTAACATCTGGGTGGAAATATTCTCTTTGCCAAAGAGCCCCCCTTCCCCCTCTTCAGAGAACCTACATCTTTCTGGAGCTGTGTGCTGTACCAGGACTCAGGCTTGGCTGGTGTGAGCCACATATCCAAGGCCAGCCGCAGCACATGTCTCTCCAGCAAAGTGAGGCTGCTGGCGGATGTGGGTCTGTAGGTGTGGCGGGCCTCCCGGAGGAGGTGATCAAGGGATCGGGGGATGAGTGATGCCAGGCCCAGGGAAGGGTGGAACTCCAGCAGATAGATGTTTTTCAAAGCTGGGCTTAAAAAGAAAATCCATCAATAACAATTTTACACAATGAAGAACTTAATCTGTTTCAAAAGATATTTGAATTTTTAATGTTTTAAGACCAATAAAATAGCTGTGATAATCCAGGGCATTATAAGTAACTGTGAGCTCAAAGGGGGATCAGAGGCCATCCATACTCCATCAGATTATACAATGTTTTCTTTGTGTTAACGTGAACCCCTTTAAAATTGGAAGCTGTAAAAGTTAATTCTTAAAAGTCCAATCTGATTCTTAAAATGTTTATGGCAAACCTGTAAACATTCGATAATCAGCATTTAGTCAAATATTTGAAAACAGAATGACTTAAAAGTGACTAAATATCAAACAAATAATTTCCATGATTAGTTTCTATTTTTTTGGCCTGAGTCTTTATCCTTTTCCCCTAAAACGTTAATAAACAAAGACAAATTTTAAACTCTGTACACAACTGCTAGAATCATTCATATTTGCTATAACAACATTCTATTTTATAAATGGATGAGGCCAGAAATGATAAAATGCCTGTCTGTAGATATTCCTTTGAAAATAGAGGATACAGCACAAGTCAAGGGCCTTTTTATACCTACATCAAACTAAAGAGCATACATACTTCTGGAATCCATGCAAATGGGATTCCTCTTTTTTTTTTTTTTCATGGATTCTTTTTTTTTTTTAATAAATTAATTTTTATTGGTGTTCAATTTACCAACATACAGAATAACACCCAGTGCTCATCCCGTCAAGTGTCCCCCTCCGTGCCCGTCACCCATTCACCCCCACCCCCCGCCCTCCTCCCCTTCCACCACCCCTAGTTCATTTCCCAGAGTTAGAAGTCTTGGGATTCCTCTTTGTTCTAGATCTTAAAAAATACAACCCCAAAGTTGGAAAGGAATTTCATCAAGCAAATAACATTTGCTTTTGAGATTATTCTGACAGGCCTTGGTATCCATATAGTCCAAGCATGTTCTGCCAAAAATCATTTCTGAACAATAGATTCTTGCCACAGCAAGCCGAGCACACACACAGCTGATGTGAAGAAATCAGTCCTGGGAAAGGTCCATGGAGAACATGCACTCTTGTGCCTGGAACCTCTAGGGCTCTTTCTCAAGGGATGAGGTTAGAATGTAGGATATGACATCCCATAGCATCCTGCCAGTTCTCAAGATGATAGCCACATATCCCTCTGGGGCAATGTCTTACTGAAAGTGTGCCTCTACTGCTGAACTGTACACTAGCCAGGAGCACAGGGCCATGCTTCTGTTGTTCACAACTGTGTCCTCACCTCCTAGCACAGTGCCTGTACCTGTAGGCACTCAACAGATACTTGTCACAAGCTGAAAGGAATTGGACGATTTCTCCACCCATTTCAAGGCAATAAAGAGATTGTGATCACGGGCCACACAGACCAACCTGGAGCTTGTCACTCACTTGTTGGTTTCCTCAATACCCTCAAAGGTGGGGGAAGGAATGGGAGTTCAAACTATATGCCAAGGGGGTGACTTAAAATATATACCTCCTCTGAGTGCTCTCAGGAAATTTAATTTGCTCCTTAAAGGGGTAGGGGTCACGAGGTAAGTCTGCAGAAACCTTTTTGGTGACACTTACTAGAATAAATAAATTCCTTCTTGAGAAACTTTTAAGCAAGTTTCATATATGTTGGCTTATGTGGCACATCTGATTAAACCCTCTCATGGCATTTTAAGAGTAACTGCTTTTTTTTTTATAGAACTTCTCAAGGGAATAAAGATTCTGCACCTAGTAGTATAATTTTAAATTCTAGCCTTCTATTATTACTTACAAAGCAAATGGATATTGAATATGCAAGAAAATCCCTGTTCTGCAGCTTTTACATCTACTTCACTCATCTCCCAAATACCTGAGAGGTACTTTATAGAATAGTATTTAGATTTAATATCATACCCTTAACTTATCTAAAAGATTAAATGTAAAATGTCTAAAGACAATACCACAGTACCAGCTATTGTTGATGGAAATAAGTTGTTTGCAAATGATGTTAAGGGGAAGTCCGAAGTGACTGCTATCATTCGGATGGCCTTCTTGCCAAAGCCTCTGGACATAGTCCCGCTGACGCTCTATCTAGAAATGTAGCATAAAAGTTATAATTAGAAAAGTTAAACTTTCCCATGGATGTGAATTATGATCCTTGGTATGAGAAGAACAGCAATCCTTTGCATCCCTTCATTATTTGACTAATTTTCATCCAGACATGGTTTTGAGGATCCACTCACATGAAGACATGCCGGTCTCTCGGTCTGAACCATGGGTCAGCCAATAAAAACAAAGGCAACCAAATTGAGACAATCTTAAGAGGCACAGGAAAACTTCTTTCTGTCAAATGATTGACTATAAGGAAAAAATTCTAATCAGGTCTAAGGTAAATGCACTGCAACAACCTATCTCCTGCTTACTTCTTGCCATTGGCTTTTCATTGGAGGACGTACACTGTAATTTTTCCTTTAGTGACCTAAAAATAGTCACAACATTTAAAAAATAATAAACATAACTTTATGCATTAGTAGCTTATAAAAGGGTATGTTTCGTTCTCCTTTCAATTGCAACAAACTCTATCATCTAGTGAAAATAAATTTTCTATTCTTTGTGGACCATTAAATATAATTAGGGTTGGAAACTTCCTCTTAAGACTGCAGTTATGCTTGGAATTCAACGATGCAAATGAGCTTACAAATAAACATGCTGTACGTGCTGCCCTAGAAAACCTGGATTCTGAACCCACAGTGAAAGGAAAACACTTCAGCTCTGGCCTGTTGTTTTCCATCCTCTTCTCACATGTAATATTTTAAAATCAAAATGTACTTACGTGCTGATTGAGGATGTCCCTCACGAGCTGCAAGTGAAGCCTCAGGCAGGTACATTCATCTCGGTAGGCCTTAATGAAATAAGGGTGGCTGAGATCAAACCGTGGGCGCCTGTGCATGATGTCAGTGATCACTTGTGCTAGAGCAAATCTCTCCTCAGGGTCCAACACGTGCTGGTAGGCTTCAAAGTAACTGTCAAGAAGCTGCAAATAAGGTTAATAGTCAGGGAACCGCAGAGGCAGCCGTAGGGCTCAGCAAAGAGAGGTGAGGCCCCACCTACTCCCCCGCTTTGGAAAGCCACGGGGCATCAGCTGGAGAGAAATGGCTCAGAACCTCTGGGTACCAGCCTGCTGTGGGCAGCTGCAGCACCAATGCAACTCAAGAGCAATTGGTAAACCCATAGAGATAGGGAGGGCAAAGTAAGAAACACTAGTTTTGCCTGTGTCCCCCCCTTCCCCTCTTCACCACAAATAAAAGGGAGGTTATATAATGAGTAATATAACGATAGTTATAAGCTCTAATGAGACAGTGCACGCAGTGTCACTTCAAACATATTTATCACCGACACTGTTCTCCACAGACTCATTCTCCTGCTATTTTATTTTATCACCAAATGTAGGCAGGAGGCCTCCTTCCCTTTTCTTATCCTCAGCTCCATTTCTGACCCCCTTTTTAAAAAAAGTTTGCCCAAATTTAAATACAAATACAAATCAAAGCCACAATGAGATACCACCTCAACCAGTCAGAATGGCTAAAATTAACAAGTCAGGAAACAACAAATGTTGGCGAGGATGTGGAGAAAGGGGAATCCCCATATGCTGTTGGTGGGAATGCAAGCTGGTGCAACCACTCTGGAAACCAGTATGGAGGTTCCTCAAAAAGTTGAAAATAGAGCTATCTTACAACCCAGCAATTGCACTACTGGTTATTTACCCCAAAGATAGAAATGTAGGGATCTGAAGGGGCACCTGCACCCCAATGTTCATAGCAGCAATGTCCACAATAGCCAAACTATGGAAAGAGCCAAGGTGTCCATTGACAGATGAATAGATAAAGAAGATGTGGGATATATATATCTATCAGATACTACTCAGCCATCAAAAAACCTACTTGCCACTTGCAACAACATGTATGGAACCAGAGGATATTTTGCTAAGTGAAATAAGTCAAGTCAATCAGAGAAAGGCAATTACCATATGATCTTACTCATATGTGGAATTTAAGAAACAAAACAGAGGATCATAGGGGAAGAGAGGAAAAAAATAAAACAAGATGAAATCAGAGAGGGAGACATACCATAAGAGACTCTTAATCATAAGACACAAGCTGAGGGTCGCTGGAGGGAAAGGGGTGTGAGGATAGGGTAACTGGGTGATGGGCATTAAGGAAGGCATGTGATGTAATGAGCACTGGGTTATATAAGACTAATGAATCACTGAACTCTACCTCTGAAACCAATAATACATTACATGTTAATTGAATTTAAGTACAATACATTTAAAAAATGGTTTGCCCAAATTTCACCTAGAAACGATAGGGAGTGATAGGATGGAAGCCTGAGGTGAAAGTTCCCTAAATACAAAGGCATTTATCCCAGATGGGACTCTACTAAGAAAGGCTTCGTGTACAGAACTCTCAAAGGCATCTAAGGAGCTTATTGTCTAGTGGAGGCCATAAGCCTTTTCTAAAAACCAAAGCAAGCTCCCAGACACTAACCCAGTAACCACTGAAGATGGTGGTTAGTGTGAGAATTAAGAGAGAGATCCTCTTTATTTTGTTTTTACATTCATCTGTGACCTTAAGAATTTATATTCTGTGTATAAATTCTATTTGTGTGTAATTAGTCATAGTGCTGATCGGAAAAACGCTCTTCAGAGATCACTGGGCTGGAATCCCAAACAGGGACCTAAGGGCAAGATAAGTAGTTCTGAAGAGTGTAGTTACTGTTCAGGCCTGTCCCACATTATATCAAATATATTAAGATGAACTCACATTCCAATAAAATTCATTCTTGTAAAAACGTTAAGGGATATTTATAATTTTGCTTTACAAGTTATTTGGCTACGAGTAACACATTGAATTAATGATTGGCTATGATTTCTGGGCAGTGATATACTCAGATTCTTATGAAGTGAGAAGATATGGTCTATAAATTTTCAAATGCAATGAGATGTTTCTAAGTGCTCAGTTACAAGGTTTTTACATTTTACTGACATGTAATTAAGCATTTATTGATAACAATTTTGTATTTTCCTTTTATATTTCAGAGTAATGCATGTGTTTTTCCTCAAAGCACCAACATTTTCAGTGGTACCTGCAAAGCTCTTAGATCCTAATCACCGAGTCCACCTTGCTTGACGCTTAAATCAGCTCTAACTAGAAGCTTCTGAAACTTTATTCCATTCATTTCACAACAAAACAAATTCCTTTCCTCTGCCAATCTAATCCAACACATCCTCCCTCAGAGTTTTGGCTCAAGATGTCCCTCCCCAGTCTTCTTTCATTAGCTTCTCTTATGGAGTTTCACTCTTCTGGAAGATGTCTACTCCCATTGTATCCGTATTACCAAAGTCACATAGGCTTGCCCAGTGTGTGCATTTAATTGGCAGCAAGGAGTGAAATGTTGAGGTTGCAAATTCTACCAACCTGACAGCCTATCACACTTTGACATGCACCAGAGAAAGAGTGTGTTTTATTTCCTTGGGTATTGGTCTTCCCGGTGGCTTCAGGACAGGAAGTCAGCTCTCTTACAAATAGAAATTTCCTAAAAGGAGATAAAGAGCCCTTCTCTTTGTGTGGCATCTATAACAAATAATGCAAAACCATAAAGAACAAAAAGCAAGCCCTGTTTCAGGAGGAACAGCATTCAAAGCTCACCTAGGTAGCAACAGTGCAGGAAAAAAAAAAAAAAAGCAAGCCCTATTTGAATACAGGTAGCAACAGTGCAGAAGGCAAAGGGGAGTAAAGGACCCACGTGGCAGGAAAAGAGGCAGGAGTGTCTCTGTCTTGCCAGTTATGGCTTCCAAGGCTCCCAACAGAGGTAAACACTTGAGAATCAATAGCAGACTAGGAATCAAATACTGCCTTACTAATACATGTCCAGGATCTGGGCTTCAGTGCTGAAGCACAAGGAGGCGGAGCCTGGGGCACTTTATTTGACATTCAGTTTTGAAGGAAACCCTTTGGAACATTGGTCTAAGGGACCTTAGGTCAACTCTAGCACAAGAAGGAAAACACCAAAGGAGTTAAAAGCTCAGAACACACAATGCACACCCCAGGTTAGAAACTCCCATATCTCAGTGAAAAATGAAGGAAGGTGGATTGCCAAGACTTTGAGTCCCAGGGACAATGAAGCAAACAGGGTGATCTAAATTACCTGTTTCCTCTGATGATCTCTACTCTAGAATAGCATTCAATTATTAAATAGTAAAAGACAAAGCAGAAATGAAGGAGTGATGGGTAAGAAGGATGTCACTCAATAGCCTAGGGGGAGATTAGGAAAGAAAGAAACAATTACTTTCCCTAAATCATCCTGGACTAACTTGAACCTTTTTGATTGAGCCAAGGCAATCCCAGGAGCTGGTTTATAGTATTTGTATGCCTTGACCCGTTTTTTTGTACAAAGAGTCTTATTGTTTGGCTATTTGGCAGAAATTCATGGGGGAGGGTTCTTGCTAGTGATTTTAATCTGCTGATACCAGGTTGCAGAGGTTGGCACTAAAATGCCAAGCTCATTTGTGTTGTTCATATGATTGCCAGATCTAGCAAATAAAAATACAGGTCATCTAGTTACATTTGAATTTCTGATAAACAACAAATACTTTTTTTAGTATAAGTATCTCCCAAATATTGTCATATTTTATTTGGCAAACCTAGCTATTGAAAAGGAAAATGTGGCCCTCTTTTCACATTGAGTAGGCTTTTTCAAGCTTTGGCCTCAACCTCGAGAAGCTCTCAGATGGACTGTTGCATAATTTTATTATTAATTCTTTCCCAAGAGGGTTAAGACCATGATTTTTTTGCTTCAAGGTTCTATTTATTATCTGTTTGCTAACTGGCCCATTTCCATTTAAACTCTGGGCTGGTATTTGCCTAAGACGTCTTCCTAGTCTGTCAAATGTCACCTGTGTGTGTCAAGGGCCAACTCTCAAGTGAAATAATACATGGTACACACTGACGGGAGGTATCAAATATTGGAGAAAATAGAAAAAAATCCAAAATGAATAGTCTCAAGCCTTACTGTGCTTATATTATTTTTACCTCAAACTCTGTATTTCTGGGACTTAAGAAACTTTAAAAAAATAGCACTTTAGGTCAAATGAAAGTGCAAAACAGAAAATCAACACTAGACACAATTTGTCACAGATTATTTATTTATTTACTTACTTATTTATTTATTTATTTCCAGACACGAATTCCAATCACCCTAAAAATGTGTCATCTGGTGGCTGTAGGCAGAATTAGCTTTTGGAGCACATGTCACTTAGGAGCCCAAATAGCTGATGCCTGGCTTCTCTAAGAGTTCCTTAATCCACCTAAATTTACATCAGCTCTAATTTTATGAGTGTTTATACATAATATGGTTACTTTAAGGATTTAAGACAACCCAGTGTATTTGAGCAATTCTTAACTCTAGAGACTCCAATATATTTAATGATCAAAAACAGCTGAGCAAACTTGGCAGTAGAATCAGTACTGGGAGAAATCAATTGTACTCTAGATAAAAATATGGTTTATCCATTAAAAATAGGCTCTTTTGACAGAATTTCTGATTTAGAAGGCCACATTTTACAGTTTTGGCACAGTTCAGTTTCTACAGAAAACTTATTGTAAGGGTGAGAAAGGAGGGAGACATTTTCAATGATTTTTTTTTCAAGTTAAAATAATTTCATTGACCATAGGAAAAAAGTAGTGGACAGCCCTGGTGACTTAGCATAGAACGAAGCGTAGGCCAAAGTGTGGAGAAATCAGTTTGTTTTTCAGTCCTCTCTGCCCTTCTATCCTTCTATTGCCATTGAGTCCTGCCCGGGGCCTTCATAGGCAGCCCAGGAACACCGAAAGGGAAGGCGGAGGAAGAGGAGAGTCCAGAAAAGGAGGGCTGTTTAAAACTGGACCAATAAACTTGTTGAGTTTAGGGATTCTGTTTTATTTGCCTTTAATGTAGCCTTTTCAGTTACTCCACTCTGAGTCTAGATCTCTCACTTAGTTGATCAAAGTAAGTTTCTAATTGGCCGATCAAGGTTGTGGATGCAAACTCTGTAGAAGCCAGTTCCCCTTGAAAAGAGGAACAGCATTCAAAGCCCAAGGCTCCCGCCCTTTGAGACCAGCCAGGTGTTTTCAAAAATTGGGTGACCTACATCTCTATGAGTAATAGACCAGAAAGTAGATGAAATGGTAAACCATCTAATCTACTAGAAAAACAGTTCAAAGAAAACATTTCCACTTCCCCATCTTCTGACCACATCAGAGTGCACTGTAAGCTGGCTTCCACACCCGTACCTCTTCTGAGAGTCCTATGAAGCTGGCAGTGACCCTGGTGACTGACCCCACTGCCTGTTTAGGAGTCATTTTTCTTGATGTTTCACTGCACTCCACACTAGTAACTGTCTTCTAATTAAAATGTTTTCCCCCCTGTGGCTTTCATACACCATTCCTTCGTTTTTTTTCTCCTGTTTCTTTGACAACCTTCTTATTCCTCTTGTGGATTTTTGTTCTATGACCTTCCCCTACAATTTAAGTGTTACCCAGGACTGCATTTCAGACATCTCTGGCTTTTCCTACTCATTTGATTCATGACCATGGTTCAATGTTCACTCTCATACCTCAGCTCATACCTCCTCCTGACCTTCAAAACTACAGCTCCCACAAAACATTCACACCTGTTTTAGCAAACTCTCCTCCCATGCCTGTTGCCACAGACTCAATGCTATCATCCCCTCTAAAGCATCCCTCCTCCTGCATTCCATTTCAGTTGAGAGTCTCCTCCCTGACCTTGAGAAAGTCCTTTTTAATTCCACCCTTACTCTCACCGCAGCAACCAGTCTTCAAATCCTGCCATTTTCACTTCTGCAAAGACTTCTCAAGTCTGCCCCTCCTTCCCATTCTCACTCTTCCATCCTTGTGGAGGTCCCCTCCTACTTTTCCAGGTCACTGTTGCAATAACAGCACTTCTTTTCTGCAGGAGCTCTACTCCAGTCCATTCCCCACACTGATACCCGAGCAGGTGTTGAAAACAGAGCTATGCTCATATTTCCCCCTTACTGAAACTCACCAATGGCTCTTCGTTGCTTATAGGATTAACTGTAAATGTAGCACGGATTAGCAGGCCTTTCACAGTTGCACCCCTAACACATGCAGCTCGTTTCTCATCATGCTTTTAGCGCCTCGTCTTCTTATTCCCCAAACTCGCCATCCCATTTTACACTCCCCTGATACCGCTTCTGCTGTTTCCTCTGCTTAAGAATTTTTCCTTCTCTGACAGACAACATCCATGCTCATCTCTTAGTAACAGGATTAAATATCTATTCCTCTGAGAAGACTTGTCAACATTTCCTTTACTCTGAGAGCACCTCACAGGGCAAATCCCTCCCTCCACTGTGGTCTCTGGAGGTCTTGCATGTACCTCAGATGTAAGCTGTTAGTCACTGGGCTGTAATTTTTACTTGGAGATTGGATCAACTTGTATAGACTAGAAATTCCTTAAAGACAGAAATCATCTTCTCTCATTTATCCATGTTCCTAATGTCTGGAATAGTACCTGGTACAGAGTAAATATTTAATGTTTGATGAATGAATTCCCAACAGTTAGTGATCATCAGAGGGGCTAATAATCCATGCCGAGGGCACAAATGAAGAGCAGTGTTTCATTTATTACTAGTATATGAGCCATTGATGATACCGATGGTGAATTTAGCAACCTGATGTTTCATTGCTTTAAACTTACCCTCATAACTTGGTGCACTGAGCCCACCTTGCCCAACGGCTTGCCTCACATGTGGTATATTTCTAAAGGCTGTAATAAGATCAATTTGTCTGCATTTAGCAAAGTGAGGCTTGTCCCTCACAGGACAATGAATGTGAATAAACCCATCATTCATTCATACTAAAAAATATATATGAAAGCCTAAACTATATAGCCTTCTAACAAATTATGACTGTAAGATAAAGTAGTATCCTTCACATTTTATTTTTTATTAACGAGGAACCACAGTAAAGAAAATAAAATTTATTATTCATATCGTTACAAATACCTGAGATTTTTTTAAATAAAATAATTATTTCCTTTTTAGGATTGCCCTTAAAAGACCCACTGAGTTTTCTTGGTTTTGTTTTTTAAATACTGGGTTTCATAAGAATGTTTAACAGATGTTTTGTTTTCTAGGGAAAAATACCTGGCGCTTGTTTTCTAGCAGAGCTGCTTCCCAAGTCCACAAGTCATACAGCACAGCAAATCTGTCCACACTTGCGTGGGCCCATCCCCAGTCCTGGCCAGTATTTGACTTGGTGTCCTCTTTGTGACCTGGGAGAGAAGGGGATGAGAACGACCAGAGACAGGCCTTTCCACGAAGCTATTCTTATTAGAAAAGCAGCCCTTGAACTGTCAGCTCCATCTCAGGAATGAAAACACTGAATCAGTCACAGGGATTCCTAAGAATCAGCTGGAGAGCCATTGGCAAAGACTGGGACCCAAGTTCATACTCGACTTCTAAGTCAATAGAGGTTTTTGTTTTTACTCTTTAATTTTAGTTTTAAAGGCTAATTTTAGAAATGTAACCAAAATTCAGCTAATATGAAATCTTCACTAAAATGTCCTCAGACCTATAATTTAAAGGCAAAACACACATTTCTCCTTCTCTAAAAACAGGTCCCTGGTGGTTTAACAACAAACCCAGTTTAACCTGCTATTTCAAATGATGCTAGCTAGCCAAGTGAAAACTCTTCAGAGAAGTTTCTAAGATATTCCTTAATTATGTTAATTACTAACTTAAATCAATAAAGGTAATCATTGTCATCGTTCTAAAATATTTTCCCACTACATTAATGTTAATTGTCAGTATCAGCATTATTATTGCTCTTAATTTTTGACAGGCCTATTTCAGAATTAAATCTCAAAAAAGTAAGAGATTTTCAGGTACTGAACTTTGAGTTCAATAATTATCACATATATGATGGGTACTGAACAAGAGAAAGATTTTGACCAGGCATTTTTCTAACAGCAATTGGGAAATCTTTTCACAATGGATGACTACATACTAGCTCAGGTGAAGGATGCTCATGTGGCTAAATGACTACCGACTGTTTCAATCAAATTAAGTTCTCAGCAGCTTGAAATAATTGCATGTTATTATAAAGTAATATCAATAGAAATGATGATGCACTAGTATGTAGAATAACCAGTAAAGATAAAAGCCAAAAGCCAAAATTAAATGTCCTAGAATGTTGGATGCCATCACTGCATCCCATGATTCAGACACCAATGGTCTGTGGTAAAGAGAGCAGTGTTAATCCAATGTTAATTTAATTCCGTTTGGCTCTGAAAGGTTAATTGTCAAACATGCTTTAAGCAGCATTATATATCAATATGAAAATAAATTATTCTTAATTGCTATCTACGTATATTACAAAATAGCACAAACCTTGGCTAAATTTCTTTTTAGGTTTGCAAAACGTCTAGAAACTCTAAGCTCTTTCCAAATATAATGCTAATGTTGTCATATTATGCCAAAAGCATTATTCTTTCCTCACCTATTTCTGAAATTGGATATATTTGAGTGCTGCCAAAAGGAAGAAGAGAATGCCTATTATAGGTTATTTGATTACCCTGAGTAAATGATTTCTCCCTTTGGTGCTTATCTGGCATTTTCCTACCCAGATCTTCTTGCACTCTGGTGGGTTTTTTTTTTTTTTGTCAGGAACCCAGGGGTGTCTCTGCTTCTAACTGCTGTTTGTCCAAAGTCAATCACTGTTTTTGTTAATTAAGGGAAAAAAATCATTACTTTCAGTTGCTTACTTTGCTTCCCTCAGGGCACTGCATGACACCCTTTGCACCCAGTAAGTAATGCAGAAATGCCACTGAGGAATGAGTCTAAACAACAGTAAGAATTATAATCAAGCTTTGAAAGAATAGTCTCCAACAAGAAGAGGGACTTGAGCTGGAGGCAGAAACGTATCTTTTCTAAAACAGGTATATATTGTGGAGGTGTATATGCTTACTGAATTTTCAGATACTACTGGATAAGCATTTATATTTTGAGGAGGAAGGTGTTAAATAGAGCCCTTAGTATTTATTGTTTGTTTGGCTGGTTGATTTTTTTTAAAAATCTGACTTCTGACCTTTTTCTTTCTCAATGTAATAGCTGGCCACAAGCAGTAGTTCTGCCTCTAGCTCCTTCAGATCAGCCAGGGCTTCATCATACATGATGTGTACTCCTTGCTGGTCCTGCGTGTAGATGTAACCAGCTCCCATGCTGTAGTAGTCATCCTGGTTCTCCACTTCTGAGAATTCCATGAATTGGACACTGTGGACCTTGGGAAAAGAAAACTAAGCCTAGAAGTTACCGGAAAAGAGAGGGCTATATTTTGCCAGTCCTTCTGCTCCCACACAGTGGGCTGTCAGCATTCAGCTGTGGCCATGTCGCCTATATATAGCACTTTTATGTAGAGAAACAGATATTAGTAAAGAATGTTAGCAGGGAAGGGTAGTGAGATAGATAACTAGCTGGTTATGTTTTTTTCTGATTAACTCAGGGTTACTTGGGAAAAGGCAGGCAATTGAGCTGAGTGTTATAGGTAGTCTCTGAAATCAGAGTGCCTATGTTCAGGTCTCACCCTCGGCAAGTCACTCAGCTTCTCGAAGCCTCTATTTCTTCCTCTGTAACATGGGGACAGTGGAGATACCACAACAGTTGTTCTAGGGAGCATGTGATGCTGTGCTGATGAAGCACTTGAGATCTATGAACATTTAAGACTTTTTAAATTTTTGATTGTATAAATACTTTAAAAATGCATTAATATAGCTTCATGTCTTAGTAATATACTGAATTGAATAACATCCCCCCAAAATTCATGTCTACCTGAAACCTGTGAATGTGACCTATTATGGAAATGGAGTCTTTGCAGATATACATAGGTTAAGATGAAGTCATACTTGATTGGGGGGAGGGGCCTACTCCAATGACTGATTTCTTATAAAAAGAGGAAAATGTGGGGATAGGGGAGAAGGCCATGTGAGGACAGAGACTGAGATGGGAGTGATGCATCTACAAGCCAAGGAATTTCAAGAAACAGCCAGGATTACTAGCAACTGCCAGATACTGGGAGAGATAAAGAAGGATTTTCTCCTGGAGACTTCAGAGGGAACAGGGCCCTGATGACACTTTGATTTGGGGCTTGTAACATCCAGAACTATGACAGAATAAAGTTCTCTCCCAGTTGTTTTTTTTTAATATTTTATTCATTTATTCATGAGAGATACAGAGAGAGAGAGAGAGAGAGGCAGAGACATAGGCAGAGGGAGAACCAGGCTCCATGCAGGGAGCCCGACGTGGGACTCGATCCCAGGTCTCCAGGATCAGGCCCTGGGCTGAAGGCGGCGCTAAACCGCTGAGCCACCCGGGCTGCCCCTCTCCCAGTTGTTATGAGCCACTCACTTTGTGGTGTTTTGTTATGGCAGCTCTAGGAAACTAATATGAGTAATCTGAGTATTCCAACCATACTTTTTTCTTAGATGACTGAGGAGCTGTTGCATCTTAAGAATCATTATTCTAGTAATAATTCTTATAATTTCCAACTTCACTCTTGGCAAGCCTCTGAATTCACCCCCACCCCATGCCTTCACTCTGTCTCAGTGGAAGCCCTTCCACTTCTCCACCCGCATCCACACACTGCACGCGCACCCCTCTCCTCCTGCTTCCTCCTGTACTGTAGGGAACAACTCTGTTCCCCTTCTCTGTGGTCACTCCATCCCACCTCTAAAACATCCCTTCTTCTTCTTGGATATCCAACTCCTCTCGAGCAGCTATTTCCCAATTGACCCTGAAACGTGTTCATGTCCCTCTTGGCCTTCTCTTGGTTCCACCTTTTGTCTCTCCTCCTCCTTATGATCCAGCCTCCCAAGATGTGATCTGCATTCCCTGTGCCCACTTCCTCACCTCCTACCCCTACTCCTCACCTCCTATCTCGCTCATCGCCATCAGCTCCTGTCTCCATCAAACCAAACCAACTTTCACTAAGACCAACAGTGATCTTTTCTCCCCATCCAGCAGACCTTCTTTAGTCATCTTGTGTAATGTCTCAGGAATATGTGACACAGTTTTGCACTCCCTGCCTCTTGATTCCCTCACTTCCCTGGCCTTCTGGGATTCCACATTCTCCTTGCTCTCACCAGCTTTCCAGCCTTCCCTAAGAAGTATTTTTCTCTATCAGGTCATTAAATAGTAGCCACAGTTAAGCCCGAGTCTTAGGATCTCATCTTTTCCTCCTATGCTCCTTCCTTAGGAGGTGGTACACACTTTCACAGCTGAGATTAGGGACCATTTGCTCCCTAATTGATATCTATAATCCAGACCTCCTAGAGCTCCAGACTCGCATATCCAATGACCTATTTGGCATTTGTTCCTGGGTATCTCAAATGCCTCTCAAATTTAACATGATCAAATCATGTGGTCTTCTCCCACAAACCTAGGCCATTTCCAACTTCCCCATTTTAGTAAATAGCACCGCCACCAAGCCACTTCCTCTTGCATGAATCATTTCTGACATCTACTGCCTCACCCTCCAGTCTATCACTAACTCCTGTTAATTTGACTTCCTATCTCTCAAATCCATCACTTCTCTGGATCTCCACCACCCACCATCCTAGTCCAAGCTGTTATTAGCATTCACTGGGACTAGTCTAGGAGTTTTTGGGTGTAATTTTCAAGGCTGGGTACAATCTGGTCCCTGCGAACCTCTTGGACCTCATTTCCTTTTACTGTCCATCCATATTATTTCCATCCTCATGGACCTAGGCCTGGCCCTCTTCTGAATGTGCAGAGCTGTTCATACCTCTGGGCCTTGTACATACTGGCCCTTCCATCCCTCAGTTCCTCTTTCCTTGGTAAGAACCTACCCTATCCAAGAGTCCATTCAAATAACACCTCTCTGGCAGCCTTCCTTATATCTCTATGCAGAGCTGAGTGTTTCTCCCCATGACTTATCTAACTCCATTATAGCACTCAGCTCATTGCCATGCTAGATTGTTGGCTTATCTACTCCCACAAGCTGTGAGCCTGTCATTCATTCATCCCTTCATTCACTCATTCATTCCACATACATTCTGATCAGTAAATTTACTAGGTGCTGTTCTAGGCACTAAGGATATAAGCAGTTAACAAAACTGGCACAAATCCCTGCCATCATGGAATTCTTTAATGGAAAGAGACAGACATTATAGATAAGTAAGTAGCATATATAGAATGTCAAATGGTTTGGCACCAAAGCTTCCCCAGACTTCTTAGTGCCCTGCACTAGAGTGTGGCCTAGTAATGAACTTTGGCCAGTGGGTTGTGAGCAGAAACAACATGTGTCACTTCCAGTCCAAAGTATTTAACACAGACATTAACATATTCCCTCTCCTAACATATTCTCTAACAATTCCCTCTCCTTTTCTTCCCTCAGTTCCTGTGTCTGAAATGTGTGCTTATGCCCATAGGAAATGAATTTTGAAGACCAGATGGACAAATTCCTTCATGCAGAGTTATGTCTCAGTCATTATATTATTTTCTTCTTAATTTCTTCCACAACTATGTGGAAGACTCCCCCTTCTAAAGTTTCTGTGGTCTACTGAGTTGATCCTTCAATATTATGCTTAGAGGAGTGGCAGGAAGGGGAAGGCAATAATTATATGTCTGAGTAAGAAATAATCTGATCTTTGGAAAGATTCATATTTTTTAAGACTGCAAATTAACTGATGCCAAGATAATTATTTGAATATAGTAAAAATATAGGAGAATTGATGGCCCATCATTCATTCTCTTCCTTCTACTGGTTTCTGCCATTACTTGCTAATATGAATTTTAGGCCTTTTGGCAATAAGACAATATTTTTCTGACCAGCTTACCTTTTTCTAGATAATCTTTACATTAATTGCAGACCATAAAAGTCCAGTATAAGAATTTCATTAAAAACTGTTAGGTGAAGGCAGCCCAGTGGCTCAGCGGTTCAGCGCCACCTTCGGCCCAGGGCCTGATCCTGGAGACACGGGATCGAGTCCCACGTCAGGTTCCCTGCATGGAGCCTGCTTCTCCCTCTGCCTGTGTTTCTGCCTCTCTCTCTCTCTCTGTGTATGTGTGTCTTTCATGAATAAATAAATAAATAAAACAAAAACCAAAAACAAACTGTTAGGTGAATGACTCAATCCATTGGCTACAATCTTTCAAATATATTTCTTAAGTTTTCTTTTTCAAAAAATACTTTATTTATCTATTTGAGGAAGAGAGGGGGACAACTGGGTGGCTCAGTAGTTGGGCAGCTGCCTTTGCTTAGGTTGTGATTCCGGGATCTGGGATCTAGTCCCGCATCAGGCTTCCTTAGGAGACCCTGCTTCTCCCTCTGCCTGTGTCTCTGCCTCTCTCTCTCTCTGTGTGTGTCTCTCATGAATAAATAAACAAATCTTTAAAAAAAAGAGAGACAGAGAAAGAGAGAGCAAAAGTGGGGTGAGGGCCAGAGGGAGAAGCAGACTCTCTGCTGAACAGGGGGTCCCTGATGTAGGGCCAATCCCAGGACTCCAGGTTTGTGACCTGAGCTGAAGGCAGATACTTAACTGATGGAGCCACCCAGGCATCTCTTTCAAATATTTTTAAAAGAAAATTTAAAAATTTATTCTCTGCCTCACATACTGAGTATATTATTATTATGGCAAGTTGTTCTTCATTTGAAAAGCATCATACATTTTGCAAAGCAATTTCGTGTACATTGTCTTTTTGTGATCTCATAACCATTGTGTTATGAACAGGGCCTTTCTTTTGTCTAACAAATATTTATTAAATACCTACTATATGAAAGACATATACTCAACTCTCTATTTCCTTTTGCCACCTGAATAAGCATCTCAAAATTTCCATATCCTAAACTGAGATCCTGATCTTCTCAACAAACCTATTCTAATCATATCTCAGATAATAATGACTCCAAACTTTCAGATGCTGAGGCCCAAATTTTGGAATCAACCTGGACTTCTCTCTTTTCCACATTCCACATCTATCTGCCTGGAAATCATACTGGCTGTACCTTCAAAACATGTCCAGAATCTGACCATTTCTTACAATGCTGTCTTTTCAGACACATTGTCTATTTGATTAATGTAATAACTTCCTAACTAGTTTCTACTTCTGCCCTAGAATATCTTCAGTCTATTTCCAATACAGCAGCAAAGATCTTAAAATGTAAATCAAATAACATTACTCTTTTGCTCAAAACTCTCCAAGGGCTCCCCTTCTCAGAATCCTTGCAATGGTCCACAAGGCCCTATGCAACCTGTTCCCCATTCCTCCAATCTCTCTACTATAATTTCTGCCAATTTCCTCCTCCATCAGTCTAGCTTCAATGAACTCCTTGCTGTTCCTGCAACAATGCTATACATGGTTCTGCCTCAGGGCCTTTGCATTGGCTCTCCTCTGCCTATCACTCTCCTCCCAGTTAGTCATGTGGTTTGCTTCCTGATTCCCTTCCCTGGCCATTTTATTTATAATGGCAACATCCCAGCACCAACCTCTATCACCTTTCCTTCTTAATTTTTCCTCACAGAACCTATCACCATCTTTACAAGTCTACAAAGTCTAGATAGTTCTGTGATAACCCCAAAGTGCAGTGGCCTACAGTTAAGATGAATCTTTTACTCATGCAGAGCCTTCTGTAGGACTTGTTGCTTTCTAGGCAGCTATCTTCCAGCAGTGAGCCAGTGACCTAAGATCTTTCTATTTTGTGGTTCAACATATGCCTTCCACTGGCTACAGCAAGGGAAGAAATCCAGAGAGTCAAAGACCAGCTCTTAAATACTTTGGACTGGAAGTGACACATGCCACTCCTTCTACTGTGACACACGCCTAAAGTAAACTCAGTAAACTCATAAAGTCCCCATGACAGGTGGTAGATGCTTTCCTTTTCTGATATTGTCATAGAGTGAATACTTTTTAATACTAGCTCAAGACTTTCATCATCAGACCAAACATACAGGTCCAGGGAAGACACTGACATCTTAAAGGGCTTCTCCAATGTCAGCTCCCCAGGCTGGTAAGCCCAATGATCTTGGTCCCAGTCTTGGCCCTGGAGCTTGTGAATTCACCCCAACAAATTAGTATCTGTGCTTCCCATCCCGTACGTGGGAATGAATCACATAGTTAGGCATGAACATTCCAGTTTAAATGCTGACAAGGCCACATGCATGGAGTGCAGGTAAAACACATGGTCCTATTAAAGACCCTGAAAGAAGGCCACTTCCTTGAGTTTCTCACACTATAGTAGTAGCTGCTGGCAGCTTATAAGGGAGCTGTTATTACTGTTACTTATGAGAGCATAGGAAAGCAATATTGCATACCCTTGAGAAGCTCATCCTACCATCAATGGGGCAAGATAGGATTTGTTTCCCCTCCCCTCCTCCTTGGCTACTCCAACCCCCATCCCAGAACAAACAAATTGGGAGAGAGCTCAGCGGTAAGAAAGATCCCTTTTTAATCTATTAGCAAATAAAAAGCACAGCTATGGTATGAGGTAGGCTCAATATTAGCAAGAGAAAGATATATTTGTTTTATAGGTGTGTTTGTTTCAAAAGCATCTTACTCTCCTCTCTAGGTCCACTGAGGGGCATACTAACTGCATTTGACTAACTATGAGCTAGGATCAAGTAAGAAGGGCAGAGGGGTCAAACTGTATGGTAAAGGGTACAGGGGATGGTACTTGTTGGCAAGGGAGACCAAAAAGAGAAGTCCTTTTTTTTACTTTTTTACTTTTTTTTACTTCAGTATACACTCTCCTGTATACTGAGTGAAGGATGGACTCTAGGTTGACTGGATGGGAAAATAAAATGTTTTTCAAGATCTAGAACTGTTCTACAGTGCAATATAGTAGTCTCTAAGGACTACTTAGCTATTAAGGACTTGAAATATGACTTATCTGGGTTGAGATGTGCTGTACATATAAAGTACATGCCAAATTTTGAAGACTTCATATAAAAAATGAACTGTCTCATTACTTATTTCTTTATATTGATTATATGTTTAAATGATAATATTTTGGATACATTGGGTTAAACAGAGCATATGATAATCATTAATATTATTCATTTCATATTTCTTTATATTTTTAAAATGCAGCTACTAGTATTGTAAATTACATATGTGACTCGTGTTATATTTCTATTGGACAGTGCTACTCTAGACTGCATATAAGAAACAGTTGATAATAAGATTTCACAGCCTTATAGACATGACAAACATAGGTCAGGGGTCATATGAGGTTAAACTTAACTTGTTTAGTAAATAGATACTATTTTTCACATTTGTCAAACTATCTTTTAAGAGGATAAAGTTCATATTAAATCCTACCTTTAGGAATAAACTTTCTAGAGATTGAGATGAAAATATTGCAAGAGTATTTACACTATTCCAAGAAAATGTAGGCATTTTCAACTTTACTCCCAAAGAAAGGGATTTGATATGAATTTTGTGGAATATAGAAAAATATATTCAAGAGATATTAAAAGCACCAAGGGGCACACAGGGTTTTAGAGGGATAAAAGAGATTTTATTTTCAAAATTTTTCTACCTTTGTTTTCTAATCTATTTTTTCACTCGGGTCTTAGAAAACAGGAAAGAGGCAGAAAGGTACCTCTAGTAATATCAAAGAGGGTCGTATTAGAGTTTCTCTGTAAAGACATGTTAACTGACTCCAGGTGCTAAGAAGAAGGTGGCTTGGGAGACAAGATAACCAAGGGAGAAAAAAAAATCTCAGCAGAATCTTAACCTCACCTTGTGCTCGGCAGATGTTCCATGGACATAGTGGTGAGTTCCTAGGCCTTGCAAGGTGCCCAAGCCTCCTTTAGCCATATTTACCCAGGAACTATCTTCGATGGTGGGGACCAGACTCCCTGCAACCATTGTAAGGCCTGAAGTATTGATTGTCAGTGTTCGCTCAACGGATCTGAAATAGTTCAGAATTCCTAAACAGATTCGCTGAAACAAAGAAAGACTGGGTCAGGACTCTGCCCTTTGCTAGCCCTACAGTACAGAGTAAAACTGAATGGGGCCCTAGAAGTTGGCAAGACAACTCCATTGCTGAGAAAGAAACATACCACCCCTAGAAGGCCTGATTTTGTGAAAACCAGAACAAAGAACAAAATGTAAAAATGCATTGCTACTGGAATAGCAGGAAAGCCACCCTAGTAGACAAACAAATATTCCAGATGCCTGAAGCCAGCATGCCATGCCATACACATACCTGCAGCTCCCTGATTCGCAGGTGGCGCAGATACAGAAAGGATAGGTAGGTCCCTCTCATCAGGACAGGACCCCTATCACTGGGTCCAGTCCCATCATCCAAACCCAGCAGTTGGAGGGCCATTGCATAGCTGTACCTTTAGCAGGCAAAAAAAAAGAGAATAAATGCTTTTCACCTCAAAGTGGCTCAGAAAATTCATATACACCAAATTGAAGTCATTTTATTTAACTTCAGGGAGTTTCACAGTAGTACTTTTTAGAACTATACTAGAAGAAAAATACTCTCTCTGTATAAATATAAAAGGAAATTTCTCTTAGCAATTGCTCTTGTGAAAAATCCAGTCCTAGGGTGAAACATTAATTTAGTTGTCTGACCTGCTTTGACAGTCTTGCTTTTATTTCAGCTTCAAATATTTTTGAGTTAACATGTAATCTACCTATTAATCAGTCACTCAATTTTCCCCACAGTGTTTAATCCACTTCCTCAAGTCACCAATAAATGATTTAATTTTACCCTTTCTCTTTTTTCTGCTTGACAGGCTTATCTGCATGTTGGCACAGACTTATTTGTGCTAGGTCATTTTCATTTTGTTCCACTGAATGGTCATCTTCCCTCATATTTTCATTCTATTAAAAAAGTAGCATTAGTTGAATTACATAATCATTTGCAATATTACCAACAAAATCACAATCAGGTCACCACAAAATTAAATCCCGTGATCCAAGGCATATTTAGATGAAAAAGCAGAAGAGCATCTTGATCCATTGCAATGTGGCATATGAAAATCTGGATTTCTAAAATTAATTAGAGGTTACTGTTTTTATTTTTAGTCTTTGTTTTACAGAACTATTCATAGCTTTTAAATATCATCCCCCCCCCAAACACACGTCTTTTACATGATTCACTTACGAAAAGTTGATACATAGATTTGTAGATGTTCGAAACCTTGAGCATCTCTAATCTAGTCTTGTTCTGGCCTGAGAGAGATCAGTGGATTAAATGCCTCTTTCTACTTTTCAGCTAAATGATTTAGTTATTTAAAGTCTTGATCCTATTTTCACACGTGTAAAACAGCAAAATAATAGAAAATAAGTCGCTGTGAGAATTAATGCGCAATGATTGGCACCTCATAGGTGCCCAATACGTGCTAGTTCTCCCCCTGGCCATGGATTATAGTAGTCAGTCAGCTCTCTAAGGATCTGTCACAGAATTCATGGTTTATGTTTATTTCTACAGGTATTTTTCCTGATGTCAAGCAGGTTGAGGTCACACACACAGAGTCCTAAGGGAAAACTGTGAAGGTGATATTGATGAATGAGCCTGCCCCTGACCCTCTGGCAGCCCCTTTCTTAGCTGTCCTCTCTCCTGCCCCTGGGCATATACCCGTTCTCATAACACATAGCCTTTCATAGTAGTGCTGATACCCACAAAAACACTGAGTGGCAACAAGTTAGGTTGGAACCCCACTCTTTGGGTTACTTATATTCTAATAGTTGGTTCTTGGAATTCCAATAAGTCCTTGTGGAAAAAACTGCTGATTGTTCCCCAAGATCCATTTTAAATGCAACTCTTCCTACAGTAGTTAAATATTTACCTTGGCACCTGGCTACCCAGATGGAGATGACATTTCCAAGCCTCCTTTGTGTCTAGGTGTAGCTATGTGACTAAGTTCTGGACAATGGAATGAAAATGAAAATGCCATGTGGCAGCTTCTGGGAGTTTCCTGAAGTGGCAGCTTCTCACCCTTATTGTCCATCCTGCTGCTTAAGACATGAATGTGACAGCTGGAGCTCCACCTCAGACCAGGTGTTGATCTCAGGTATGGAAGTCACATTTGTTGGAACTCCAGGATAGAAAGAACATGGATGCCTGAAGACTTCATGGAACAGTCATCACATCATGCCAGCTCTGTACTTCCTACCCCTGGATCTTCATATGAGGGAGAGAGAAATAAATTCCCATTTCCTTTAATCCTCTGCTATTCTCTGTTTAATTATGACCAACAGCTAAATATAATTTTGACTAATAAAGTACCCAAGACTCTAAAGATACACTATTGGCATTTATGATAGGCAGTGGAGAGGAAAACTTGGGACATGGATATTAGGAAGAGTAAGTGAAAGAGAAAACTGTCTAATCAAGTATCATTAAATGGCTTCCCATTCTGCCTTTGGGACAGTTAGCTCCTTAAGTGTGCCCATTGGTGTATTTCCATGTAAACATCCCATAGCCCTAGGACTGGAAAAGGCTGTAGGAGATGACATGGTGCATTCCTGTTCTTTGATACAGAAACACACAAGATCACCATCTCCAAATTAAGAGAATTTCTGTTATTTTAAGAAAATCTGTGGGAAAGCATATACCCTATGAGGGAAGTTGAATTTTAAGTTTCTATTTGGCCCAGAATTATGGGTGAGAGGGGCTCTACTGAAGATTTTTGCCTCTCAGGCCTCTGGGGCTCTTATCTTGCAATTCAGCATTGCCTGGTGTGACTCCAGAGGGCAGGCTCAGAACCACAGCCTTTCTCTGATGGGACCGTGACTCTTTCAGCTGCTTCTTAAATTACCCAGAATTACATAGGAAGGAACAGAAAGTGACATCAAGTTACAGTGAAAGACTCTATGAAGTTTATGACTGAATAAGCCCACAGAAGTATTGCTGGACCTGTAGGCTGCCGGGAAGAAAGGAAGGGGGCACAACAGGGTAGGGTGAGTAAAGGGAGAGAGCCCAGCACCTTCTGGAAAAAGAGAACCAGCCACAGCCCACAGAGGTAAACTGCTTAGGAAACACCCAAAGTGCACGACTATTCCCCTTAGAGGACTGGACACAGTCAGGTAAGCAGTGGGGCTGACCAAAAACCAGAATGTCAACATCACCTGCGTTTGTTCCGTCTTCCTAGGTAGGTAAATCCTCTGACATTTACTCTACCTGGTGGCTAGGTTTTTGCCAGCATGGTCTTTGCTAGTATTTTGACAGCTCTGAGATTTCTACTGATTGCAAATCTCATTTTCTTCTGGGAAACTGGCAGGGGCAGTGGAGTGGGAGGTGGAGGGAGCGAATAATTAGAGGGAACAGAAGTCTATAATGTATTTCCCACCTCCTAAATGTCCCTACAGCTTATTTGTGTATATCTACAGAATAAAAAGACTAGAAGGATAGATACCAAATGTTAACAATATTATTGTTATATTTGGGTGGCAAGATAATGGCTGATTTTTATTTTCTTCCTTGAACTTTGCTATATTTCCCCAATTTTCTTTGACAAATACATGTCATTATTGTCAACAGAAAATGTTTGTTTTTTAAATGTTCTATTGAATTTGGTGATGGAAGCCAGCCAAGAAGTGTTTTACATTTCCCTGAACTTCTTGCACACTGGAACTACTATATACAACAGCACTTTTGTGAGGGCACACCATGGACTCATTATATCTCTGGAAATGGAGGGGAACAGTAACACCGAGGGGGAAAATGGCTATCTTCTTTCCCTCTCCTTAGTGTGGCCAGAGAGAAGCAAAAGCAGAGGCAAAAGATATAGTGGTTTCTGCCACTGCAGCACTCCATAAAGTTAAAGAGCAGTGAACAATTGAAATCATATCCTTAGAAATATGATTGTCAGTAGTAGTATTTAATATCTCTACATAAATAGCCATTTTAATGAACAGATGTTTTCTTGGGGAATGGCATTGAACACAAGTAAATTGATATAATACAAGTTTGGGAGGTTTGGGCGGATGCACTCAGGGCTGGCTGGTCTCTTCCTTCTGATTAGGATTACAGTTAAATTATTTTTAAGGTTTTTTTTTTTCCAAAAGATATCCCCCAAAATGTAGTCCTTGTAGACCAGAATTATTTCTTTTAGTTATAGATGATCTTCAATTAACAATCAAAAGAAAATTTGATATTTCTTCCTTATCCCCCAAACCCAGATCTTTAAGAGAATCTGGAAAAATAATTGTGTGTAAAGAAATGAGTAGCTAGCCTTACAGGCCAATGGTAAATAAAAGGCAGTTCAAACTGTGATAGAAACATTATTCAATATGAATAAGTTCAGACAAATATATTCAATATTAAGATGCAAGTTTTCTCATAATTTGCTGGTTGGGGGAAAAATGGTATACCACTTTGGCAAGATCTATGGAAACATTTGAATGTGCATGTTCAGTGACCCAGAAAATATACTTCTAAATATCTAATCTATAGAAACACACATGTGCCCAAGGAGGAATGTACAAGAAAGTTCAGTAGGAATGGTTTCTAATACGGTAAAAAATGGCAACAGGTATCCACAGGGAAGTGTCTGTGTGATCTATAGGAAATAATAAAATATAATGCAGCCATTAAAAAGAAAAACAGAGACAGATTTCTAAGACATACTGTTGGGTAAACAAAGCAAGTTAGCAAAGATATCCATAGGGTAGGACAGATCATTTGTATAGAAAACTAAAACACAAAATTTTATTATATACATATATATTTTTAAAATGAGGACATATGTTTGAATATAAATGTACTGATAAAGTTGAAGCAGTAATAGTGGAGGAAGTGAGGAAGTGGAATGGGGGCCAGTATTGGAATTCCTGTTAGTTAAAGCATTAACAAAAATGGAGAAGGAGAAGATGTTTATATATTATTTCTGTAGCTTAAAATTAATTTCCAACAACTTCTTAGGGAGAAAAATGGTAACTTGACAGTGCAAAAACCTAGCAAACATCACGAGCTACATGACATATCAAGTTTAACATCCCCAGCAATAAATCAGGTTGATAGCATCTGCCCCAGATACGATCTGATAAGAAGGGCACTTCACCTCTGGGGTGTTCGTCCTCCAAACCTATAACCTCAGTGTAGCCATGGAAAAACATCAGGCAAATTCAAATTAGGGAATGTTCTCTAGGTTGCCTGGTCAGTACGCCCAAAGACCATCAGGGAAAGACTGAGATAATAGCACAGATCTGAGGAGACTAGGAAATATGACATTTAAAGGCAGTCATAGTAGTGCAAAGAAGACATTAATGGAAAAACCAGTAAATTCCAAATATCATCTAGTTTAGATATCAGTAATGTACCAATGCTGGTTCCTTAGGTGTGGCAAAGTAATATGTTAATAATAGGAGAAACTGGACAGGAGATTCCTGGGATCTCTATCTTTGTAACTTTTCTGTAAATCTAAAACTATTCTAAAATAAAACGTTTAAAAATAAAATAAAATAAAACAAAACGTTTATTTTCTAAAAGATTCCCTAAGGAAAGGCTACTGGTAAAGAGTATTCACTGAAAACTGACCAGAAACTGTCTCGTGGTTGTGCTATAATTAGTGCTTACATTCCTTCAGAGCTGTCAGAACCAACTGTCCTATGAGGTTTGCCTTCCTTCATGCAGAAGGCCCTTAACAAAGTTTTTTTTTTTTATGGGGTTATTTATTGTCACTTGCCAACTTCAGAATCAAAATGCTGGCCACCGTATGGATGCTAAAATTCATACTTGACTGCTACATGCTTGCAAAATAGTCACAGAGCTTTAAAATTCATACCCATGTTCCTATGACTTCTCCATCTTCCATCTTTAACCTCATCCTAATCTCATCTAGCTAGTATTCAACATTCAGAATAGCATTCGGATACTGTAGAAAGTGCCTCTTGACCAGAGCAGAAATACATAAGGAGGTCAGGTCACAAAGTAACGCCCACAGGAAAATGTGAAGGGAAGTAGAAAGCCATGGATGGTTGCCTCGGGATTTTCTTTTGCAAACACTGTGCTATTTTCTATTCCCTGCTTGGAAAGCTCTTCTCTAGTGTGGCTGACTCCTTCTCATTCATCAAATGTTAGCTCAGAGGTCCCCAACTCTGAAAGAGCTTGGTCCATCTATCAAAGGGTGCTTCTCTCTACTCCGCTGCCTCCTGTCCCTGTGGTTTTCCTCATTGCACCCACAAGGTAGAGATGTAGATGTGCTCTTGTTCACCTGTTTATTGCATGTTTCATTCCCTGAGCAGCACAGCTCCTGGCACAGAGGCAGCATCTGTGTAATAGTCACTGAATGAATGAATGAATGAATGAATGAATGAATAGGAAACTTGCAGGAACAGGAAACAGGACACTAACAGGTAGGGTAATTTGGGTGGGCTATGTGTCTCCCCTCAGGCTCCACCTCTGAAATCTATAGGTAACCTAAGTCTTTTTAGGATCTGTTTACCATAAATCAACTTGAAAAATAGGTGCTCACATTTTTCTCCCTTTGGTCAATTCTACGAACAACATTTACAAGTCAGTAAATAGCCAGAGGAAGTGGTTTTCTTTCTTTCTTTCTTTCTCTCTCTCTCTCTTTTTTCCCCCTCCTATTTAACACTGGGCAACTACATTCAAAACAGACTTTGGTGAAAGCAGAGACTGTATTTCATCATATCCTGACTTTCCATCTCATCTGCAAATGGAGGGAAGCAGCAACACAGAATGACAGGAAGTGTCAGTTTTCCCCACTGTGTGGCTGGGCTCCTCACACTGTTGCTTAGGGTTTTCTGCCTTTCAACACCCACCTGAGCCATCATCTCCTGGTCTTGCCCTGCATTTTCTGCTTTTCCATGATAACCTCCTTTGTCCTCTGAGTCCCCATGGGCACTGCTACATCTCTGGCCTGCTGGCCTAGCCAGACCCCGGACCATCACTTCTCCATGACTTCAAACATGAAGCTCTTCACCTCTGACTCCCTCTTCTTTTGCCTCCTACCTCTTCCTTACTCATATTCACCTCTTTTTCCCCTCATCTGGCCTCCAGGAATTTAATTCCCCCATTCTCCAAGTCAAGGAGGAAAACAGACTTGCGGTGGCCATCAGATATTAAAACCAGAATTCAGGTAAGGGAGGATTATATCAGGATCAAGAAGCAGACTGTCCAGGATCCTAGGAGCAGAGGTCTGGGATGCCTCTGCCTTCAACGTCCTCCAAACCTTCCTACTCCCTACCTCTTTCCCCTTAAGTTTGGTTCAAAAATCAAAAGAGCTGGATGTTTTGTCCCCTTGCCAGTACAAAGTCTTCCAGGTGACATAGACTTCACTGTGAAATGGCTATGGGATAGGAAAGATGCTGTTTTTTGTACTCTGGCAAGATGCAAGCTGAGGAGTGTCACTGGTAGTTGCATGTACTGGCAGGGAATTCAGAGGCCAGGTAGATCCATTCCATGATATCCTGGATCTGTGTCCGATCTGTTTGGCCAACTCATTTTTTATTAGATTCTCTAGATCCTTATCTAAACAGGTTGAAAAGTTGTAAAAGTTGTGGTGTGTGTGTGTGTGTGTGTGTGTGTGTGTGTGTGTACACATGCATGCACTTACGTTTTTGCTTCCAACCAATCTGTAACTCATTTAGGTTTCACTCTCTTCCATACCCAGCCTGGGATGATGGACCATGGCAGTGCTGGCTTCTCTCTCTAGCATTCTACTAAACTTCTTGATGCCTTCGACTTTATGTATAAATTTTTACAATTATTTTTAGGGGTGAAACTAACAGGATTACTATGTAGATTAGGCTCACTAAAAGTCATGCCCTCTTACTTCAACTGGGCCCTCTAGCTACATGATCATCCTTATATTCTTTTCTCATTGGTGTCCTTCTGGCATTTCCCACAGTGATCCACCTCCTCACATATCACTTTAATCTTCCATCTCACTAATGCAGACATCCTCCCCCCCCCCTTCTCTGAAACAACCAGGGCCAGGGCCATTTACAATCTAAGACATCTTACCTTTTTGTACCCGACAATTCTATATATCTCATTCACCTCAAGGGAAGTAATGCTATTCTCCTTTTCTCAAAATTACTCCTTCAACTGGTTTCTTCATCCCATCCCTTCCTCTTTCCCAGGTCATCTGTTTCTCAAATTTACCCTTTCATATCTTCCATCTCTTGTTCTTCTTCACTGCCCATTCCTCCCAGACCATAAACATATTGAGTATTCCTATCTTAAATAAGCAAAGAAAACAAAACTCTTCCCTTAAAGCAATGAATAAACAATAGCAGATTATTTAAAAATGTTATAGTGTCATTGTAAAGACAAATACCCAATAGCTTTGTGTAGAAATTGCCTTTCATTGCCAAACTTTAAGCCTATCATATGTAGTAGCTATCTAGCTGGCTTCCCTGCCTCCAGTCTCTCCCTCTTCCAATCCAACTAATACCTTGCTGCCACATCAATCTTGCTAAAAAAATAAGGCTTTGTATATGTCACTTCCCTTGTAGGATAAAGCACAAATTCCTTTGTCTGAAGTCTATGGGCATTCACAACTTGCTCTCTCCTCCCCTTAAAAAAACTTCTCTTCCCTATATTTCCACATGAATCTTTCACTCAACCAAGTTGATCTTGAACATTCCACAGTGTCTTCTCTGCATTGGTGTTCATGCTTCCCTCCTAGGATCTGCTTCCCTCTCCACCATCACTTCCCTAGGCCTGACGATCCCCTCAAGTCCAGTATAATTTCGTTCTCCTTCAAGAGGCTTTTCCCCAAAAAATCAACCCTGGGGGGACCATTGTGACTCTAAACACTCACAATGTTTAACAATTGTCCAACTCATTTGGTGTTTATCACTAGAGTGCGCAGCTTTGTACTGGTATGAAGTGGTTAGTGTATGTCCCAGCAGCAAGATCTTATATAACACCTTTTTATGTCCCTCTTTTTAATTATCATTTAGTCTTTTTTATAATACAAACAATCCTGGCTGGTTAATAAAGCTTTTATGGGGATGGTCTCTGAAAGATTACCAAAGTAAATTTCTAAGGTCTACACATAGGTAGTGAGTTGAATAGAAAGGCATATTGGTTATTTCTTCCTGTCGTACCTGGTAGAGGTTGATGTTGCTATAAATATTCTCCCAGATTTGGTCATAGTTGCATTGATGCAAACCCTGGGAAGCCACAAAAGTTGGATGAGATGGAGCCAGCATGATGGTCTTTGCAGCGTGGTCTTGGAGCACTTGCATTACTCGTTCAGGGCTGGAAATCTCAAGTAGAGTGAGAGGAAAAGGAATGGTTCAGAAAAGAGTTATTCCCTTCTTCTCAGCAAGAATTTGGTCACATAGACACAAAAAGAAAGAAGCTCCAGGTGGGGCTTTATTCAGTTAAAAAATAAATAACATCAGACTCAAACATCATGATTCCCTTATGCCCATCCATTCAACATCGTAAATATTTAAATTTAAAACTCTGTGACAACCCTCTAAACACAATAGCACACTGTATCCCTGGAAGTGCTGTGGCATCAATGAAAAGATAAACACCCATCGTTTTGGATACAAACACAGTTTGCTATTAGGAAACTCCAGGAGATGGAGGAAGAGGCAGCTGGGTAGTGTGAGGAAGGTGCAGGCTTTGTAAGAACACAGGCCTGGGCTCATATCTCTGCTGGAATCCTGACTTCAGCACATAGAGCAGAACAAGTCAGCCTAACAAGAACACTAATGATGTCTTTCCCAGGATTGCTGCAGGAATGCCTGGCATGTAGTAGGTACTGAATAAATGTTCCTTTTCCTCTTCTGGGGGTAAAAGATCAAATAAGAGTCCCAGAGTTGAATTTCAATGGCAGTGATATATGTATTATGGTATTTCAGTCATTTTAATATCGCAAGGGACTTCAAGTATCATTTAGTCCAATCCCTACCGAAACTCCAATGGCTTTTTTTTGTAGAAGTAGAAAAATTCATCCTAAAGTTCATATGAAATCTCAAGGGACCCCAAATAGCCGATGTAATTTTGAAAAAGAAGAACAAAGTTGGAGGACCCACATTTTCTAATTCCAAACCATATTACAAAGCTACAGTAGTCAAAATGGTGTGGTACTGGAATAAATTGGGCATACAGACCAACAGAAAATAGAATAGAGAGCCTAGAAGTAAACCCTCGAGTATATGGCCAAATGATCTTAGACAAGGATGTCAATACATTCAACAGAGAAGGGACAGTCTCTTCAACAAATGATTCTAGGAAGGGATCGCTGGGTGGCGTAGCGGTTTAGTGCCTGCCTTTGGCCCAGGGCGTGATCCTGGAGACCCGGGATCGAATCCCACATCGGGCTCCCAGTGCATGGAGCCTGCTTCTCCCTCTGCCTATGTCTCTGCCTCTCTCTCTCTCTGACTATCATAAATAAATAAAAATTTTTAAAAAAACCTTTAAAAATATGATTCTAGGAAAACGGGATATCCACATGCAAAATAATGAACAATAAGCCTCTTTTGTACACCATACACAGAAAATTAACTTATAATGGATTAAAGACCTAAGCATAAGACCTAAAACTATAAAACCCTTAGACAAAAACAGATTATGAAATCTTCATAACATTGAAATTGGCAATGATTTCTTGGATATGACACCAAAAGCACAGGCAAATAAAACAAAAATAAACAAATGTGACTATATAAAACTTTAAAGCTTCTGTCCATCAAAGGATACAATTAACAGAGTGAAAAGGCAACCTATATAATGAGGGAATATATATGCAAATTATATATCTGATAAGAGGTTAATATCCAAAATATATAAAGAACTCCTACAGCTCAACCACAACTACAACAACGAAAATCAGATAATGCAATTTAAAAATGGGCAAAGGACTGCTACAAACATTTTTCTAAATATGATATACAAATGGCTGAGAAACATATGAAAAGATTCTCAAAATCGCTAATCATCAGAGAAATGCAAAGCAAAACCAAAATGAGATATCACCTCATATACATTAGGATGGCTAATAACAAGAAGAAGGAGGAGGAGGAGGAAGAACAAGAAAGGAAGGAAGGAAGGAAGGGAGGGAGGGAGGGAGGGAGGGAGGGAGGGAGGGAGGAAGGAAGGAAGGAAGGAAGGAAGGAAGGAAGGAAGGAAGGAAGGAAAGAACAAGTGCTGGTGAGAATGCAGAGAAAATGGAACTCCTGTGCAGTGTTGATAGTATTATAAAATGCTGCAACTGATATGTTAAATAGTATGGAGATTCCTCAAAAAATTAAAAACAGAATGACCAAAAAAAAAAAAAAAAAAAACCAGAATGACCTTATGACCCAGCAATTCTACTTCTGGGTTTATATTCAAAAGAATTGAAAGTAGGATCTCAAAAAAGTATTTACATATTCATGTTCATAGCAGCATTATTCACAATAGCCATGAGGTGGAAGCAACCCAAATGTCCATCAACAAATAGATTTTTTAAAATATGGTGGATAAAAATAAATAAATAAATAAATAAATAAATAAATATAAAATAAAAATATGGTGGATATACACAAGGAAATATAATTCAGCCTTAAAAAGGGAAGGAAATTCTGATATATCCTACAACATGGGTGAAACTGGGTGGGTTAAATAAGCCAGTCATAAAAAGACAAGTACTGTATGATTTCACTAATAGGTGGTACCTAGAGTAATCAAACTCATTGAGACAGAAATTAGAATGGTGGTTGCCAGGGAGTAAGGGAAGGGAAGAATGAGGAGTTGTTGTTTAATGAATATACAGTTTCATTTTCTAGGTGAGGAGTCCTGGAGATGGATGGTGGTGATGATTACTCAACAATATGGATGTACTTAATGCCACTGAACTGTACACTTAAAAATGCTTAAAATAGAAAATTCCATGTTAAGTGTATTTTACCACCATTTAAGAAAAGAGATCCCATGTACTCTTCACCCCATTTCTACCAATGTTAACATCTTGCAAAACCATAGTACAGTATCACAGCCCGGATATTGACATTGATACAGTCAACTTATAGAAGAGATCCACCACCACAAGGATCCCTCATGTTGCTCTTTTATAGCCATATTCCTCTCTCTTCCTCACCAGTCTTCCCTTAACTCCTACAATCCACGAATCTGTCTTCATTTCTATACTTAGTCATTTCAAGAGTATTGTATAAATGGACTCATACAGTCTTAATGGGACTCACTTTTTTTCACTCACATAGTTCTCTGGAGATTCATCCAGGTTCTTGGGTATATCGCTAGTTTGTTCTTTTTTTTTTTTTTTTTTAACAGATGACTGTTATTCCATGGTACAAGATGCACCACAATTAGTTTATTTACCCACTGAAATATATCTGGGTTGTTTCCAGTTTTTGGCTATTGTGAATAAAGCTGATAAAATGGGGATGCCTGGGTGGCTCAGTGGTTGAGCATCTATGTTTGGCTCAGGGCGTGATCCCAAAGTCCCCGGGATCCAGTCCCATGACCGGCTCCCTGCAGAGAGCCTGCTTCTGCCTCTTTCTGTGTCTCTCATGAATAAGTAAAAAAAAAAATCTTAAAAAAAAAATCTGATAAAATGTTTATGAAAAAAAAGGGAGAAGACGTCTGGTCACATGAATGCATTCACATGCATGAATCTTGAGGACATTGTCCTAAGTGAAATAAGCCAGTCACAAAAAGACTAATACTGTATGAGTCTACTTATATGAGACTTTATATATATGAAACAGAAGGTAGAATGGTGGTTTCTAGGGACTGTGGGGAGAAGTAGGGAATTGTTGTTTAATAGGTACAGAGCTTCAGTTTGGCAGGATGAAAAAGTTCCAATATATCTGTTTCATGACAGTGTGAATGTATTGAATACCACTAAACTGTGTGTTTAAAATGATTAAGATGAGAAATTTTATACTGTGAGCTTTTTGCAATAAAAAGATAATTTCGTACAGTATTTTTGTTTCACAAATGAGGAAACAAACTCAAGGAGGTTGTGCTATTAGGTCAGTGTTGCACAGAGACTTTGGTGCCAAAGCTGGAAAATTTGTTACTTTCTACTGAAAACTAACAAGATTATAAAATTTTGGCAATTAGATTAGAAAGTTCCAAATAAAGCCTTCATAGTGAATCCATGGCTAATATTTCTGAAAAAGGAAAAGAAAATTCAATTTTCTGAGAATGATTTTAGCAAGAACTTTATCTACAAGGGAATATGGCCATTTCTTACTTTCAAAAACTTTGCCTGGAGTTGCATCAATACATCTATTCTTTTCCGTTCTTTCAGTTTCGTCAAAATCTTCTTTTGCCAAGGATCACATTTTGGCTTAATCTAGTGGACAAACATGTTCACACAGTTACAACATAACAGAATGGTTAGCAATAAAAGTTGCAAGCAAAGGGATTCAAGGACCTTCTGAAATGCCTTGGTGCTAGAAGGTTGATTAGAGCATGTGAAGTCTTAGAAAGGGTCTAATGGGTTCACAGATGCATGGAGCGAGATGGGAGTGGCAGATCCTCTTGGTGCCTAGCCTATGAGATGCATTAGCTTCATCTGGGACAACACAGCACACTCCATGAGCAGGAGGGACCCTAAATCCATCAGTATTGGACACCACACTTGATTTTTAGAGTGAGAGAAGTTCTACCACAAAGACTCTACATATAAAATTTTACCTTACCCATTAACAGGGCATATTTAAAAATTAGCTCTATAGTTATAAAAACATCAATATACTTAATAACCTTCAAATTTATATCTAGCTCTAAGTTCCAGTATCCAACTATCTCCTTGATACTTATAGTTGGAAGGCAAATATGACAATCTAGAACAGAAAATCTGGCTTTCCCTACACCAACCACCCATTTGCATAAGCCTCACTACTTAGGAGTCATCTTTGATTTTTCTCTCCTTTCCTTCCATTCACCTTTATCACGTAAGACTTTTCTTTCCTACATAATATAGTTGATCCTCTTACTCATGGATTTTGTATTTGCAAACTTTTCTCACTAAAATTTGTTCATACCCCCCGAAATCAATACTGGCAGACCTATCCTGGTTATTCATGGACATGTGAAGAATGGTGAAAAATTCGAATCACCCAATTCCACGTTCTCAGCCAAGGTCATACAAGGTGACATTCTGTCTTCTTGTTTCAGCTCTCATTCTGTAAATAAGTGTCTTTTTTGTGGTCTAGTTAGTGGCACATTTCTATATTTTTGTGGTTTTTTTTTGTTGTTGGTGGTGATTTCAGTGTTTAAAATGGCCCCGAAGTGTATTGCTGAAGTGTAGCCTAGTGCTCCGAAGTACAGGAAGGCTGTGATATGTCTTAGAGAAGAAATGTTTATGTTTGATAAGCTTTACTCAGTCATGAGTTATAGTGCTATTGGCCATGAGTTCAATACTATCGAATCAAAAACATATATTAAATAAAGTATCTTTAAACAGAAACACACATAAAGCAAGGTTACGTATCAATCAGTTGATGTACCTAACCTTGTATTTCCCCTATGAGCAATAAATGGTTCAGTATTTGTTAATTCAGTGTTTGTGGCAACTTTATAGGACATAACTACCCCCAAACAATGAGAATCACAACTATACTTACCACTACCCCAAATCATCTTATTTAATCTGCTTACTTGGTATTGTTTGTGAATTGTGTACCCCTGGAACCAAGAGTCATTCCTGACATAGTATATACTCAGTGAATAGTTTTTTACTAAAAAGCTGGATTTATACAATTCAATTATACATTTGAGTGTTATTCTTGGTTCTAGCCAAGTAACCAAGATCACTAACAAGAAGAATGGAGTTCTGACCCAAGAGAGAGTACAGGAGAATAGGGACTTTCCAGAGAAGGCAGGTCAACATGGCTAATTTCAACATGGACCCAAGGCAGGGAGGAGCTGGGGGGTCCTGGTGTACAAGGTCAGGCACCTACCCTTCCTCCTAGGGACAGTTTGCTTAGGGCATTGAGGAGAGGGGGCACTAGGACCTGACAGACCTGGTACTGCCAAGTTGCCTGGCTAGTGTGGAAGATACTTTGTGACACTGCTGACATCACTGACAGGTGACTGTCACCACAGGTCTCCTTACCTTTATAAAGGAAATCCAGTTAGCTCTTTTTTTCAAGGTCATACCAGGTCCTGCCAAACCCAAGTTCTCTACTTTATCTATCTCAGCATCATATTCTGGAAATGTTTGCATTGTCTGTTGCTCCATGAAGATGCTTTGAAATTTTTGGGAAACCTGAAAAGGATTAAGGAGAGAGAAGTGGAATGCAGAAAAAGTCTCAGATTATAGGCAATTTCAAAAATAGCTATTGATTCCCTTTGGGACAATCTTGGAGTTAAACTAATTAATGAATCATGACTCTGTGACAGTAACAGGCATTGAATGTATATCCTGCGGAGGACAGGTATTAAGTCAGCTCATTGCCATAACTGTGTTGGAAGTGTTACTTGTTCTGAATATCTGTTCCAAAGATTGGAAATTATGTAATATATCTATTTATATGTAAGTTGAGATGGCCCCTAAATGGGAAGTAAAATTGTCCTTCAGAAATACATTCTTTTTTCGTCTACCTGACAAACTAGAAAATCCAAAGGTTAGATAAATCTTGGTCCCAGAATACTGACCAGGATGTTGCTAGAGAGAAGGTTCCAGATGTTGGGATCTGTTAAAAGTTTTTAGGGTATCTCAGCCAATTCCTTCACCCTTCATTTTCAGACCGAGGCTACTAGCACATTCTGTCTTATAAATGCCTCCCGCCAAAATGTAGAACACTTCTTCCCTTCTCCAGAGCGGGCCCAGGCTTCCTGAGCCTATGGTAGTACCTTCCTCATTGTACTGGCCATAATACGTTATGATTTCCTTACTACCTGGTAAACTTCTCAAGGGCACAGACTGTGAATCTCAAGAAGGAGTCACATGGCGATGGTTGCACAACAATGTGGATGTAATTAATGCCACTAAACTGTGCATTTATGAATGGTTAAAATGGTCAATCTTATATATATTTTATTACATACACAAACACACACACGCACGCATGCACACAGAACCTACCATGGTTCTGGCACATACTGGGGGCTTAATAAAGGATTCTGGAATGTGAGAGTAAGTTCAATTTGTCACAGAGCTAAAGATTCTTTCAGTTAATGCTGGTAACTTGTGGGTTGTGCTATGCAATACTACGGCCCCTAGTCATATGTGTCTGTTTAACGTTTAAATGTAAATTTAAAATAATAAAAATAAATGTAAGTTTACTAAAATTATATAAAATTTAAATTTTAGTTCTTCACTTACACTACCCACATTTTAAGTGGTTAATAGCTGCATGGTTAACATATTGAACTGTGCAGATACAGATCATATCTAACAGTGCAGGAAGTTCAAGGAGACAGTGCTAGTCTAGGGCCAGGGCAGCAGTATTTTTCTTAGAGTCAAATAACAAATATTTTAGCCTTTGCAGACCATACATAGGTCTCTGTTGCAACTATTCAACTCTGCAGTTGTGGTGTGAAAGCAGTCATAGGTAATATGTAAATGAATGGGCATGGATGAATTTCAATTAAACTTATATAAAAAACAAAACAAAACAAAACAGATGGTGGCCTGCAGGCTGTAGTTGGCTGACCCTGCTCTAAGGAATTAGATAGAGAACCAGAATAAACAGTACCCAAATATAAGAACTCTGCCTACACATAAAAAAAAAGCTGTTGTAATGTGATTACCCTGTGAGCACAAGCATTGCATATAATACTGTTATAAGAAAGTCAGAAATAGAAACTATCACTATATAAGGGAAACAAGTTATTCTTTGGGAACAAGTTGGCTCAGCAGCCTCATTTTCTTTTGTTATCATTGACAATAGTCTACTGTGTTATAATTTATTTGTATTTATTTTGTATTTATTTGTATTTATCTCATAATACTTGCTGATAATGAGGGTAAAGATACTCCCATAGAAGCGCTCTGTTGTAGGGGTGCCTGGGTTGCTCAGTTGGTTCAGCGTCTGACACTTGGTTTTGGCTTGGGTCATAACCTCACAGCCGTGAGAGGGAGCCCCACGTCAGGGTCTGCACTCAGCTCAGAGTTTGTTTCAGAGTCTCTCTTCCTCTCCCTCCTACTCACTCTCTCTCTCTCTCTCTCTCTCTCTCAAATAAATAAATAAAATCTTAAAAAAAAAGAAGGGCTCTATTGTAGATAGTGCTGCTGGTGATATGAAAAGAAAGGCAAAAGCTAAAACATCATCACTTTCGAAGAAACCTGAGTACATGTGACACTACCAGTTTTAGGGAGCGTAAAGAACCTGTGTTACATACAAAAACAATCCTAGTAAAATCATGCTGGAACAAGCACAAGTGGAAGTGAAACCTGAATGTCAAGGCAAGTGATGACAGAGAAGACAGTGGCTCCTTCTTACACAAAGAGCACTCAAAAACATTCAGATTTTATTTTTGCTTGTTTGGATCAATCAGTTTACTATTTTTACCTAGGAAATATACATACTTGCAAATATTATAAGCCCAGAGCTAAAGAAATATCTTTATTGTTGAAGCTTTGGCTGAAAACTTGGTATAATAAACTTGAAGCTGTCTATACATAATCTTATTTTTACCTTTGAAATAAGTTTTAACATGGTTTTTGTTAACATGAGGCTTTTTTAAAGGAAGTGCACACTGTGTTATAGCAAAGCAGACTGCTTGACTTTAAAAATCACTATGCAATATGAACTCTATTGAATATAAAGCATTTTGCCAATAGGAGAGCTATTATAACACATCATGAGGATCAAAGGGCTCGAGACTCTAGACAACTCCATTATGCAAATCTGCCGAATCTTGGCTACATTTGCATCATCTATTATGGACTCCAACCTACTTTTTTTCTTTAAATGCTGCAGAAAAATCAATCCTGCAATCCCTCTGGATTATATATACAAGGGTCCCAATACTCTTAATAGAGGGGAAGTTCAATTGCCATTCTATTTCTTTTTTTTTAATTATTTATTTATTTATTCATAGAGACACACAGAGAGAGAGAGAGGCAGAGACACAGGCAGAGGGAGAAGCAGGCACCATGCAGGGAGCCTGACGTGGGACTCGATCCCGGGTCTCCAGGATCACACCCTGGGCTGCAGGCGGCGCTAAACCGCTGTGCTACCAGGGCTACCCGCCATTCTAAATCTTACCTATTACTATTACAGTTTATCACTCTAGAAACAATTGTGGCAGGATAGTGGTATTTTGTGGCAAACAGTAGTATTTTCTTTCACAAACACCTATCTTTGTATTAAGAAAGAGTCCATCAAGTACCAAATTAAAAAGTTCGATTTCCTGAGCAGCATCTCTCAGCTCTTCCAAGTCATGGGGGATATCGAAATGGGAGAGCAGAACCCCCAGCTGAGGTGTCAGTTCTTCTCTTTCAGTCACGTGTTGGGGCAGGAAAAAAGCAGCTTCTCTTCTCGTCAGCCCTAAAAACCCAAAATCAAGAGCATGAAGACCAATAAGCACTAGTTGGGGAGAGAAAATGGAACGTCCTTTAAGATAACTGGAGGCAGGATCTCCTCTGCTAAAAGAAAGGGGCATTCTGCTTTACCCAACATCCTCTGCCATAATTTACAGGCTGTGCCACATTGGGCTGTGCCTATCTGACAAACTCTTGAGGCTGGCTTTCTGAGGGAGGGAGCAAGGACCAGTCTCTGTCACATGGCCTGTAGGAGAAACTCAACAGATCCTTTGGAGAATGACTTCGTGGGAGCAGAACTACCTAAATTCCTTTGTGGTAAACTAAGAGAATGATTTATAAATTAACCAGAAAATTAGAGAGTGAGACTTTATCTCCTTTTGCCTGGTTCACTCTTGTTCATTTCTAAAGACTCATTTTGGACTCCTTTCCTTTGAGATGCCTTCACTGATTCCTCACAACTAGGTTGGCTGTCTCTTCAGGTGCTCCTGTGTCACTCTGTACACATCCCAAGCAAATATGTCACTCAGAGTAGAAACCTAATTAGGTTTCTTAGTCTTCTATAATACAAGATAAGGGCAGGAAGACCATTATATTGATTCACATAAGGAAATTATTTTTTTATTTATCAAAATTTTTAAATTTAAATTCAATTAGGCAATATAAAGTACATCCTTAGTTTCAGATGTAGTATTCAATGATTTTTCAGTTGTGTAAAACACCTGGTATTCATCACATCACCTGCCCTCCTTAATGCCCATCACTAATTTCATCCCCCTACTTACATCCCCTCCTTCAATCCTCAGTTTGTTTTTTATAGTTAAGAGTCTGTCATGGTTTTTCTCCCTCTCTGATGACTTTTCATTTAGTTTTCCCTCCCTTACCCTATGGTTGTTCTGTGCTGTTTCTTATATTCTACACATGAGTGAAACCATATGATAATTGTCTCTCTCTGACTGACTTATTTCACTCAGCATAATACCTTCCAGTTCCATCCACATCTATGTAAATGTTAAGTATTGGTCCTTTTTGACAGCTGAGTAATATTCCATTGTATATACATACCACATCTTCTTTATCCATTCATCTGTCGATGGACATCTCAGCTTTGTCTACAGGTTGGCTATTGTGGGCATTGCTGCTATGAGCATTGGGGTGCAGGTGCCCCCTCAGATCACTACATTTGTATCTTTGGGGTAGATACCTAGTAGTTCAATTGCTGAGTTGTAGGGTAGCTCTATTCTTAATTTCTTGAGGAACCTCCATACCAGTTTAAAATATGTAATATTAAAACTTAAAAGAGGTCTTAGACAAAACTTAATCTGAAAGGTTTATTTTGAAGATGAATGAATTGAAGCCCAAAGAGATGAAATGACCTAAACATGCAGGTTCACAGTGAAGCCATGACAAAAACATGTCCAGAACCCAGTGCTCCCAACTTGAAGTTCATTGCTTCTTTTTCTATTTGCCAGTTATAAAGATGAAGATAATAATGGCTAAGAAAAATACTTATTTTTTCCATCAGAAGATATTACGTTGATACTTATTTATTAAGAAGGTATAACTTCTTGGTATATAGAAAAGCTTTAAGCAAGATCATGTGACAAAATAACACATGTGCAAAACCACAATCTTCTTTCTCCACATTATCCTAGTGGAAAGAAGACTAATTTCTTACCTGAAATCCTGGTATTCACCGGGCCCGGAGATGCACAACCCTGGATGTTAGGGTCGATGTCATTGACCCAGACCCTTTCATTCTCCTGATCAGCCTCAGGACCTTCATTGACAGCTATATTCAACATTTTGGAGATAGGCAAATACTGGAGGGACTACAGAAAAGCACAACCAAGAGGCTAAAAGTCAACTCAATTCTTACAGAAGCTTTCACACTTGATAGAGGAGAAGGAGGCAGAGTTGGGCCTTAGTCACCTGCTCAAACATAAGGTGCTAAATCTAGACCTGAGAGACCTGTTACGATCACCAATGCTAAGCAATATTAACCTCCAAGCATATCTACATTGATCAAGCATCCATAATGGATGATGACAAGACATTGTGTGAGGTGCTAGTGATATCAAGAAGAGTAAGTAGTGGGACCAACCTCAAAGAGTTTACAGTTTAGTGGGGGATGGGGACTTATGAGCAGAATGTTACTATACACATGACTGGGGAGAGAGGTTTCAGAGGGAGACACGATGGTGACTAACTAGGGAAGGCCTGAAGTTAGGAAGATGGCCAGCTTTCTGGTTTGGATAACTGTATCTTATCACTGAGATAAGCCATAGAGGAGCAGGAAAAGATTTAGGTGGCAAAATAATAATCTTTCCAAAATGAAACTATGATCAAATCACTCATTTCTGATGTCTCTAGCCTAGCCTCCTCTGTGCGTCTCCTCTGTGATTCTCTGTACTTTGTGCTTATACTTATTCTCTCTTACCATATTGTATTTCAGTTGACTATTTACTTGCCCATTTTCCTACCAGCCTGGGACCCAGTTACTTTTCAGGAAAGACCATGTTTTTGCTTCATGGCCCTGACACATACCTGGCATATATTAGACCCTCACTAGACCCTCATTAGATATTGCTGAATTAAAAAGTGGGTCTAAATTGAACATCATAAGTTCTGAACAAGCTGATGAAAACAAGAACTTGCAGAGTGAATATGAAATAATATAACAGAGACATCTTTGAGAAAACTAACGGAGGAGTAATTTCATTAAAGCAAGCTTTCAGAAAAAAAAGTTTTCAAAAGTTTCAAAGAAAAAAGCTAATGACTCATTATTTTCCTGTCATTTGTAGGGTAAGTAGAATACAGAAACAGTGACAATCCAAAAGTAGTTGACAAATGTGAATAAACAATGCTGACCATCATGGGAGGGCACCACATCATCACATAACTATGTTTCACACACCTGTAGGTAGTGGTGAATAGTCCTGAGTGAATGTAGGTGACACACAAACCACTTTGTATAAATTGTCAGGTCTTCTTGTGTCACTAAGTTAGAAGGATTATTTTTTCCCGTAAGGAAATTTTCTCGGGCAACAGACAATCTTTCAGCTCTCTGAAGGGCATCATTGTACTCCTCCATAATGTAGGCAACTTGTTTCTGTTTAAAAGTAATGCAGAGACAGAACATGGTTATTTGCAAACCTTATTCTCTTGGGTCATGTGCTTCCAAGTATAGGGTAATGCTATTTGGGAGCCAAATAAGAGGCTTCTGGAATATCAAAGATCTTTCACATTCTTCTGAATTTGACTGACAATAGCAGTGGTCACATTCTTAGGAGAGAGAGACTTAGCACAGTCAGTGCCTACAGATGTTTGGTAACTGAGGGTGGCTTCATAGCTGTTCAACTATAGCAGAAGAGGCCAAATCCATGAAGAAAAATGCATTTTTTATCATACAAAGTTTTCTTCAAATCTCATCCTTAAAAATAGGTGCCATTATCTTCTGCCACTGGTAGAAGAGGCAAATAGGTGCATCCATTAGTTCCTTTCCCATCTTTAGCCATGACTTAAAAATCTGACAAGATACACTATTGGTAAGAACGTAAATTGGGACAGCCCTTATGGAAAACAGTATGGAGAGTCCTCAAAAAATTAAAATAGGAATGCTATATAATCTATGGTATATCTCTGGGTACATATTTGAAGAAAACAAAATTAGTATCTTAAGGAGATATTTGTATTTCCACATCTACTGAAACATTATTCCCAATTGCCAAGATATGGAAACCATCTATGAGTCTGTTTATGGATGAGTGGATAAAGAAGATGTGGCATATATAGTGGAATATTATTCAGCTATGGGAAAGAAGGAAATCTTAACACTGCGACATTAAGAATGGACCTGGAGGACATTATGCTAAGTGAAATAAGTAAGACAGAGAAAGACAAATACCGAATGGTTACACGATGAATTAAAAAAAATTGTTAAACTATAGAAACAGAGACTAAAACAGTGGTTACCAGGGGCTGGAGGGTGGGGAAATATTGGTCAAAGGATACAAATTTGCAGTTATGAAGGATGAATAAGTCTAGAGATCTAATGTACAGGTATAATGACTATATTTAATAATATGTACAAATGTATTGACCATTTTGTTTCACTATAAAAAAGAGCCCACAAACCTAGAATCAGATTCTACTTCTAGGTTTCTTACCTTGTAAAAAGGATAAAGTTGCTCCATAATCTTACTGTGCTGGCAAAACCTCTTCCATCTAAGCATGTGTAAATATTTACTCTGGGCCAGCTGGGTAATTCTCTCTGTATAATACTTTAACAAAAACAACAATAAAAATTAACACTTAGAATACAATTATAGTTCAAAGACTGAATTAAGTTTTAAGAACACTAACAATAGGAAAATCAGTCTCTGGTTGTTTCAGAAAGATAGATTTTTCTACACGAAGATCATAAAATTAAGAAACCTAGCTTAAGATATCATTAAATTTAAATAAAGCAAGTATGTATTTCTAAACCTATATAATCTGTTGCCAATCTAACAGACTACAGTTTCATTTTTCAGTTAGTGAACAATTTTACCAGTGACATAATAGCCTGCACAATTGTCTAAGGCTAAGCTCAAAATTTCTTAAAAACTGAAGTTATGAGTCTAAAAAATACAAAGCACATTACAGGTAAGATTTCAGCTTTTCAGCTTAGACTAGAAATGTTATTTAGATTTAAAAATAGTTAAATAAACCTACCGTTTTTGAATGTTTCATTTATGATAATAAATATAATAATGGCTATGATGGAATAAGTAGGACCAGATTTATCATTCTATCATAAACAACTAGAAAATAGGACAAAATAAACGAGACAACTATCTTCTGACATGAGACAACTCACAATGCAGGACTGTGGTCTTTGAGAAAAAGGAAACAAATTAAATGAGCCCTACAACTACCTCGGTTTTCTGCCTGAAGAAGACAGTTTCTAAACAAGGGAGTAAGAAAGGGAATCCCAAGCAGAGCACGATAGTCTCTCTTAGTTAAGTAGAAAGACATCAAAGCTTAGGAGACCGAGTCAGCTGGAGTTTGCAGGACAGAGTACTGGAAAGGGGGATATTATGCAGAGAAAGGCTCCAAAAATCTGCATAGAGATCTCTTTGAGTTTTTTTGCTATTAAGCTATTCATACAGAGGGTGACACTCCATGAGGCCATGCAAAGAATGACTAGGGAACTGTAAGCTGAATAGATCTCACAGTTTATAAGGGACAAGAGATGTTCAAGTTTTAATCACACAGAGTGAAGAGTCCTCATTGAACACCTGACGCATCCAGTGTAGACACCAGAAGAGTCACACTTTAGTAATAAGGATAAATGACCCTAAGTGAATGTTACTCTAAATCTGATCTAATAAAGCTTGACATCAAGTATAAAACTGATGTACAACTTAAATGTCTGTCATAATAAAGTCCAATACTCTCTAAAAGAATCCCCCAAAAATCAGCATTCAAAAATGTAAGATTGCAATGTCCAATGTAAAAAAAAAATTACTAGACACACAAAGAAGCAGGAAAGTGTGACCCAAAAGCAGAAGAAAAACTAATGAAGAGAAACAGACCCAGAAATGGCACCAGTGGTGAAATTAGCAAACAAGAACTTTAAAAGAGCTATTACTAACATGCCCAGCCTGTTCAGGTATTAAAAGGAAAATGTGAACATAATAAAGAGGGAAATGAAAAAAATATCAAAAACAGTCAAATAGAACTTCTACAAAAGAAAACTATAATATGTGAAATGAAAAATTCATTGGATGGGCTTAACAGCAGTTTAATAGTACAGAAGAAAAGATTAGTGAACTTGAAGAAAAGATTAGTGAACAGTACAGAAGAAAAGATTAGTGAACTTGAAGAAACTACAAGATGAAGCACTGAGGAAAAAAAAAAGACTGAAAATAAATTAACAGAGTTTCACTGACTTATAGAATGATATGAAGTGATTTAACAAATGTGTAATTGGAGTCCAAGAGGAAGGAAGGAAGGAGATGGAAATTATATTTAAAGAAATTATATTTGAAAAATTTAAAAAATTGATGAAAATGATAAAATCACAATCCAAGTAGTTCAGCCCATTCCAACCAAGAGATATACAAAGAAAAACTCATCAAGGAACATACAAATAGCTAAAACCATTAAGAGAAAATCTTAAAAGCAAACGGAACAGAAGGGCACATTGTGTTAGGAAATGGAAACTAAGCAGGCCAGAAGACAATGGAGCAACATCTTTAAAGTGATAAAGAGAAAAACTATCAACCTAGAATTTACTTTGAACAAAAATATCTTTCTAAAATGAAGGCTAAATAAAGACATAAAAAAAAAAGATAATTTATCCCTGGCAGATCTGTACTATAAGAAATGTTGCAGGGCAGCCCAGGTGGCTCAGCAGTTTGGCGCCTGCCTTCGGCCCAGGGCGTGATCCTGGAATCTCAGGAGGGAGTCCCGTGTCGGGCTCCCTGCATGGAGCCTGCTTCTCCCTCTGCCTGTGTCTCTGCCGCTCTCTCTGTCTCTCAAGAATAAATAAATGAATAAAATCTTTATAAAAAAAAAAAAGAAATGTTACAGTAAGTTCTTTAGGCAGAAGATAAATGACATCATACAGAAACTTAGGCTATACCAAGGTTTCTCAAATTCAGCATTATTGACATCTTGGGACAGGACAATTCTTTGTGGTGGGCACTGTCCTGTGCATAGTTGTATGTTTAGCAGCATCGATGGCCTCTTCCCACTAGATACCAGTAGCAATCTGCTCCCCTCCCCAAATTGTGACAACCCAAAACGTCTCCAGACTTCACCAAAGGTCCACCATTTCCACTCTCCCCTTCTCTCCATGAGAATCACCCATATACACAAAAGAATGAAGAATGCCAGAATAAGAGGGAAAGAGAATGAATTTTGAATGAAGATAATGACAAAAGTTTAACTTGCAAATAGAATCTCAACATCTTTTATTTCTTTGTGATTCATTTATTCATTCATTGCTAACTAGTTGCTAATGAACTAATTTGTATGCCTAATGAGGATATAACTCATAACACAAAAGAACAAAGAATCTAAAAATCAAAACAACATACCTATTATAAGAAATTTAGAAAATATATAAATATAAAAAGAGGAAATTCATTGTTCTGCCATCCGAAGACAGTGATTGATAACATTTTGATCTATGTCCATCAAGTGGTTTTTCTACATATCATGTGACCATTATTATGACACTTTTGTTATCTAATATTATATAATAATTTCTTTTATTTAAGATTTTATTTATTTATTCATGAGAGACACACAGAGAAAGACAGAGGCATAGGCAGAGGGAGAAGCAGGCTCCCTATGGGGAGCCTGATACGGGACCGCCCCAGGACCCTGGGATCAGGACCTGAGCCAAAGCCAGATGCTCAACTACTGAGCTACCCAGGCGTTCCAACATAATAATTTCTTATGCTAAAAAATGCTGAATGGCAGAACGATATTCTATCAAGTATCATATTGTTTTTCTTAAATATTTCTCCTAGTGTTAGATATGTAGGTATTTCTGATTTTCCCACTTTTATTATAATGCTGCAGTAGTAATCTTTATAGAAAACTTTTTCTACCACATTTTGAGTTATTTTCTTAAAAGATATTTCCAGAAACATCTTTCTTAGCTAAGCCAACAACTTTTTGAGGACTGAGACTTTCCTAGTATTGTATTGCCTCATAATACCAGTAGAAGGAGTAATTGATAGAAAGTCAATCATTTTATGACTATAACTAAACTGAACTAGGACATATCAGAGACATGGGTCTCTAACAAAGAAGAGAATTTATACTAATTAAGTGCTGCAAACTACACAGGTAGAGAAAATCCTACCCTAGCCAAAGTATATACCAGAAAGCCAACTTTGTTCATACGTTTCTATCAATTTCCAGATCTGTTTTTCACATTGCCACATGACTCTTACCTGCAATAGAAGCAAAGGTAAATTTTCAGGGGTGTACTCTCTTCTTAGACAGCTCTCTAGCTCCCTCTGCATGACATCTGCTTGAACAACAAGGGGCTTTGACTCCGCCACCTGAGCCCACCGCAAGAGAAGGCAAACAAAAAGAAGGAAGTAACATTATCACTGTTTATGACAGCAAATGACATACAGTTTCTGATAATTTTTACACAACACATTATACTATCATCCTTCAGTTTCCAAATAACAAATTTTATTTTTTTTTTTTTTTTTTTTTTTTTTTTTTTTTTTTTTTTTTTTTTTTTTTTTAATTTTTATTTATTTATGATAGTCACACAGAGAGCGAGAGAGAGTGAGAGAGAGAGAGAGGCAGAGACACAGGCAGAGGGAGAAGCAGTCTCCATGCACCGGGAGCCCGACGTGGGATTCGATCCCGGGTCTCCAGGATCGCGCCCTGGGCCAAAGGCAGGCGCCAAACCGCTGCGCCACCCAGGGATCCCTAAATAACAAATTTTAATATCACAAATCAAGAAACTAAAAATTTTAAAACCTCACAAAAAGTAGAGATCTCCAAAGAAGTAGTGGCCTGCTCTTGATCTAGCAGTGATCTAGCTGTTTTGTTCTCATAACACTGTCAATAACATCAGCTGGTTGTTTGCAAAAAATAAAGTTTTCCTGCTAAATGTTTCCAGAAAGTTAGCAAAATCCAACTATTGTATTATGATACAATTGTATATTACAATTATACTCTCCTACTTACCTGTAAGGTTTTCTTTAGAGCCAGTTCCCTTTCTCTTCTAAAGTAAGAAATGTCTTTTGGTATTTGAACAGAGCTGTAAAAAGATTTATGCAATAGAAGCTGTAATTATAGAAACTGTCATAAGCCAAATTATAGATAGGCCCTGATTAATCTGTAACTTCACAGCTGCTCATTTCTAAATAACTACGTCATATTATACCGGATTATTGAGAGCATGTAAAGATCACACGCTTCATAGTCTGAATCTGTATACCTCATGTTTGCTAACATTTTCCTTGGGCCAATTTTCCTCTCCTTTGCCGCAAACATGGTCTTTCTTACTACCTGTGATTTACCTATTTTCAATCCCTGAATACAGAAAGAGGCACAATGGTGGAGATTTTTCTTTCCCACACCTGTACTTTTCCAGTAACCTCATCTCTAACAGGTACTGTGCTTATCAGACATCTATCTCACCCCACGTAAAACTAGTGTCTTATAAGTTTAACAAAATGTTTTTATTTTTGTGTTCTTGCTAATTTATCAAACATGAACTGCTTTGCAATTTATTTTAACGAAATTCTTTTGTCCGAGCCTACTTACAAAGGAGTTGTTTGCACCATGGGCTGTGACATGAGAAGGCACGAGCAGCACTGCTGTGGGGCCCAGTAATGGCATGGGACCCTCTGGCAGGAAGAAGGGAGCTTCCCCCATTTGGGGTAAGATATACCTCAAGGTTTGACAGCTTTAAGAAATTAGAGGACAGCACCCCTGGTGTGGACATCACTGTCTTAAGATGAAACTCTACAAACATTGGCAAAGAAGCCACAGCAGGTAGCTGTGAAACACATGTAAGAAACCACCTAGTGATTTGAGAGGGATTTTGGGCAGCAAAATCTAGGTTAATATTGTTGGTATGACCCTATTAATCCTCCTGGGGAAGTTTTTTTTTTTTTTTTTTTAATTTTTTTTTTATTTATTTATGATAGTCACAGAGAGAGAGAGAGAGGCAGAGACACAGGCAGAGGGAGAAGCAGGCTCCATGCACCGGGAGCCCGACGTGGGATTCGATCCCGGGTCTCCAGGATCGCGCCCTGGGCCAAAGGCAGGCGCCAAACCGCTGCGCCACCCAGGGATCCCCTCCTGGGGAAGTTTTAAGGAAAGATGAAAATACTTAATTTGTATACTTGTCAGCAGTTCCCCTCACTGGGGGGAGTGGTCCTGTGAAAAGACCAGTCAGGAGGTCCCTCAGTTGCAGGAGTTGAAGCAATTCATTGAGCCATTTGTTTTTTTTTTTTTTTTAATTTTTATTTATTTATGATAGTCACAGAGAGAGAGAGAGAGAGAGGCAGAGGGAGAAGCAGGCTCCATGCACCGGGAGCCCGATGTGGGATTCGATCCTGGGTCTCCAGGACCGCGCCCTGGGCCAAAGGCAGGCGCCAAACCTCTGCGCCACCCAGGGATCCCTCATTGAGCCATTTGTGTTGAATTTCCAACTGAAGTTGGAGATAATGCCTCCCTTATCTCTTCATGTCTTGGCTTTGATGAAAAACAATAAGGCAAGCTCTGAAAGGGTCTTAAGAGGAAAAGCATTACTAAATCAAAGCCATAATTTCTGTGATTACTGGGTACCTGAATCCTGGCTGCAGCCTCATGGAGGTGGAGAACGGATAACTGACTAGAAAGGGTACAGGCAGTCAGGGAAACAGAGGAGCCCATCCCTTTTCTGCCTTCTTATCTTCCTATTTCTCTGGCATGTAAAAGATTGAGCAGTGTCCTGGGCTTGGCTGCCAGACCGTCTCTTAGTCAAATAATGTTTTCCATTTGTTAATCTCAAAGTGCCCATGAGTGAGATTGGTGGTGAGTATGTCAATGCACAAAATGAGACTGACCTATTTGTTCATCAGGTATTGTTTATTCAATATTCATTCACTAGTTTATTCATTCAGCAAGCAATAATGAGACACTTAACCATTGCAAAGACTTGGGCTTATGGTGATAAATTGACAAAAGAATGTGGAAAAGAAAAATGACCAAGGCACTATTATCCCACAGTTCTCAATAAATTTTTTCAATCTAGTGGGGAATGAAAATGCTAGAGTGATCATTAGGGTGGACATTTTACATTTTCCTTGGACTCCAGAACCTAGTGCAACACCTGGCAAGCAGACGTTGCTCAGTATTTGTCAGATTAATAGGTAGATTCTTGGGCAGTCCTGGTGGCGCAGCGGTTTGGCGCCGCCTACGGCCCGGGCCGTGATCCTGGGGACCCCGGATCGGGTCCCATGTCGGGCTCTCTGTGTGGAGCCTGCTTCTCCCTCTGCCTGTGTCTCTGTGTCTCTGGCTCTCTCTGTATATGTCTCTCATGCATAAATAAATAAAATCTTAAAAAAAATAGGTAGATTCTTTCACAGGCCATGTTTAGTGGTTTGGGGTAGTAGAGAAATACAAGTATCCAGAGATTCTAAACGATAAAAGAGACTTCAGGAAGCCTATCTTAGGACAATGTACAAAGAGGAGCCAGTTTTTTGACACCAGTTATTTAAAATGTAACAATATCGACTGTAACTTGATCTTTGTATGGTGTCTTCCAGTTTTCAAAATGCTTTAATGTGCATTATCTCACTTGATCCTTAAAAGATAGGCAACGTTCACATCTGTAACCTCATTTTTCACAGAAAGAAACCAAAGTTGGGAGAAATTATGGCTTGCATGGTTCCATTACCTTTTCACTTCATCATAAATCTTTGATTTGCTTCCTACACCCAATGGCTTTAAATACCAAATTATAAAACACACTCATACTGGTTCCTCAGAATCATCTTTGGAGTGAAGTAGTAATGCACCTCCTTACTGCTTCTTCTCCTGATCTTTCCTCTCCCACCCTTATCATCCACATTGTGTTTACTCAGCTACTCAACCTAACAAGGACCTCCTATTGTTCCTCTTGATCCATTGAGGCACTAACAGAAATGGAGGGATTTTAAGGTCTTGAGCCCATTAGACTTGCAACTTTGGGGCTGATCTGGTTACTCTATTTCTCTAAAAGAGATTGCTATCATTGGCAGCATTTACCTGCACAAAAGCTCCTAATAAAACACCATTTTGCAGAACTCATTAGCAAACACCTAGCATTATTTCAGTTTCTGTATTTCTCTTCAAAATCAAGGTCAAATTCAATTAAATACTTGTGGATTAAATGAGACCTCTTTTCAATGAGTATGATTTATATGATAGCTTCTGGAACTTTAAGGCAATGGTATTTGTGAAATGTAAGAGCACTTTTCTATTTTCTTTGGGAGGATGTTGCCTCTAAGTGCCTTGGCAATTCTAGAATTAGGGAAAACTTATAGGCAGCCATAAAATCTGAGCTTGAGATAAGACCATTTGTCTATATAAAAAGAAGAGGGAACGGATGAAGATTATGGGATGAAAGTGGGGACTAAAGCCCCTGAAGACCATGCCTTGTCACTACTACTATTTACCTGTAAGCTCGATGAGTCTCCCGTTCTTCTATCTCAGACTTCAGGTCAGTCAGGTGCATAGCCAGTTCTTTTTCTAACTGCTGGATCCTTTCTGTGGAAGCGATCTTATAAATTTCATCCATGATGTGCATTTACTACTTTATCCCTGAAAAACAAGAGTACAGAGCTTGTTTGTCTTCCTTCAAGAAATCATGTCAACTTTGTGAAACTGTATGCTTTTACAACTTGAGGAAACAGGTTGACTAGCCTGTTGTCATTGTGATTTAATTACCATTTAGTAAACAGTAGAGGAAAAAAGAAATTAGAACCTCCATTGACCATTCCTTAGTTTAGCTGAGTTCGTGTTCAGAAACATCTGCATGCCAACTCTGAGGATGGTGGTCTATTAAAATGAGAATGCATCCCTCTGGCCCAACCCCTTTAGTGTTTATAAGGCTTGTGGGAATTACACATTAAGTGCTATTAATGTTGGTTAAGGCTTTCTTCTAGCATCACTTCAAGTGGAACAAACAATAGGTGTGTGCAGGATCCCTCTAATGCCTAGGACACTTTCCCATAAGCTTTTTGATGGCATAAACTTCTGAGTTTATGGGAGACTATATTGAGTATGGAAAGCAACCTAATATGATCATGATCCGTGCACTTTGGAGTTTGGAAGAAAATCATACTTAAGCTTTTAAACGTGTTTTCTTAATTTTGAATGTTTATATTTGGTATCTGCTTTTACCATTAAATAAAATAGTTGATAATCCCCCCCAGCCCTACCCTCACCCAGTTCACATACAACACAGTTGCTTACTGAGTACTTTGTGTCAGTATTCTAATTAACAACATAGATTAATTGCATGACCCAGAATGGGATCCTTGAGTTGCAGGGAATGCAGGAGATGATGTGTTTTCTGTGCTACTGCTGCCCTCACTTGTCCTGGACAGGTGGAGTAAAATAGCTCGGGTTACATTATAGAGGTTTAAAATATTTAACCCTTCCCTTCTTCCTTTGACATTTTTTCTAGGTTTCCATTTTCCCTTTTACAGATACTTCACTTTCACAAGTTAATCTGCTATCATTCCCAACAAATAATTAAGCTGTAGAGATGTTTTGTGTAGAGGCTTTCTTTGGGGCCTATTCATTCTTTTTATAAATATTAAAAATGGAAATGAACATTCATGCTCAGTCTAGGTTGTGAACCTGCTGAGTAATGTATCTGTCATGTTTGGCACACTGCTGGAGCTCAATAAAATGCATTGTTGTTCTTAGTAAAAGCAAAATGTTGTTATGAAAAATGTCTGCCACTTGGCAGTGTCCTTTCAAGTTGGGCAAACAGTTAAACAGCTGCCTTAACAGCTGCATTCCAATCAGCAGCCAAGAGTGGCAGCTACATAGACTGGCTGATTCTTCTCCCAAAGGACGGACACTCGGCCTTCATTTCCTGATCAGTTTCAACACTTCACAGCTCAGAAATGAGAACATTTAATCCTGCACCATTTAGCTTACTACACAGTCAAGTACAATATTCACAAAATATCATAAAGAGAGGTCAGTCTTTGACAACAGTCCACGAAATGGATCCAACCCAGGGGGAATCTATGCCAGCTGAGCACTCATATCTAGTGCTAAAGAGACAAACAACTGTGTGTGCTGGAAGGCGAGGCAGGGTGGACTCCATTTACTGAGCACCTACGCTGTATCAGGCCGGCACTGGACCCTCTCTTAAAGTCTTGGAGAAGAGATTCCCCAAAATTACTTCAATGGCGTTTTAAAGACAAAAGTATATTTAATTAACTATTGGTTGTAAATAAACAAGAATCCTGCTTAAAAGAGGTAAAATCTTAGAGCTTAGATTTAAGATTAGCTCAAGCTAATCTTAAGCAGTATTTGTAGGTGAGAAGTAGGGATGGGTCTTAGAAATCCAATAGAAACCAGAAAGAGGAAAAAAAAAGAAGTATGGTAGAAATAAGTTCAAATATTTCAGTAATTATAATAAATGTAAATGGATTAAGCCCATAGATCAACGTAATTTTGGTATTATTTCTTCCTTAAGTGTTTGGAATAATTTACCTATGAAATATCTCAGCCTGAAATTTCCTTTATGGGGGGGTTTAAATTATAGATTCAATATCTTTAACAGATTAGGAGTATTCATATTTTCTATTTCCCTTTATGTTTACAAATTTTTAAAATAACATTTCATCTAAGTAGATAATTTTTTTATTGTAAGGTTGTTCATAATATCCTTTTGCATTTTGAACAGCTTTTTAAAGATATAATTAACACATCATAGAATTAACCCAATTATTTTTTGTAAGATTTTTATTATTCATGATTATTGAATTTATTCATTATTCATTATTCATTATTCATGAGAGACAGAGAGGCAGAGATATAGGCAGAGGGAGAAGCAGACTCCATGCAGGGAGCCCGATGTGGGACTCGATCCAGGGACTCCAGGATCACACTCCGAAGGCAGCACTTAAACTGCTGAGCCACCCAGGCATCCTGAATTAACCCAATTAGAATGCACAAATCAATGATTTTTAGTGGATTCACAGTGTTGTACAACCATCACCACAATCCATTTAGAACATTTTCATCTCCCAAAAGAAACCCATATCCATCAGCAGTTTCTCCCCATTTTTCTAAGTCACCCTACTGCCAGCAATAGGCAACCACTAATCTACCTTCTATTTCTATAGATTTGCCCATCTTAGACATTTTATATACACTGAATCATATAATATGTGGTCTTTTGTGACTGGCTTCTTTTATTTCATATGTTTTTTTTTTTCTTTAAAGATTCATTTATTTATTAGAGAGAGAGCGAGAGCGTGCGCGTGCATGCAAGTAGGGGGAGGGGTAGAGGCAGAGAATCCCCAGGAAAATTCTCCCTTAAGCATAGAGCCCAACTTGGGCCTCAATCCCATGAGCCATTTGATCATGACCTGAACTGAAATGGAAGAGTCAGACACTTAACCAACTAAGCCACACAGATGTCCCTCACATGTTTTCAAGGTGCATCTCTGTTTTCACATATATTTATATATCATTCCCTTTTTTAAAAAAAACATTTTTTATTTAAATTCCAGCTAGTTAACATACAGATATATCATTCATTTTTATGGCTGAATAATATTCCATTATATGGCTGTACCACATTTCGCTTACTGGTTCATCAGTTGAAGGAAATTTGGTAGATATTTTAGATATTATGAATAATGCTTTTATGTAAAAGTTTTTACCAGCTGTCTTCCAGAGCAGCTGCACCATTTTATGTTCTCACCAGCAATGTATGAGGGTTCTAATTTCTTCTCATCTTTGGCAACACTTGTTATTACCTGTCTTTTTTAGTCATCCTAGTGGATGTGAACTGGTATCTCACTGTGGTTTTGATTTGCTTTTCCCTAATGCTAATGATACTGAGCATCTTTTCATGTGCTAATTGGGCATTTGCTTATCTTTTTTGAAGAAATGACTGTTCAGATTCTTTGCCTATATTCTAGTTGAGCTTTATGGTTTTTTACTGATGAGTTATAAGTTTCTTTATATATTCTAGATACATGTCTTCCATCAAGTACATGATTTGCAAATATTTTCTCCCATTTTGTGGGAAATCTTTTCACTTTCTTGATGTCCTTTGAAACCTTTTATCTTTTTAGTGTCTGTAGGATGTGTAGTGCTATCTTTAACATTCCTGATATTGATAATTTCTGTACTTGCTATTTTATCTTAATCAGTTTTATTAGAGATTTAATAATTTTTCTTTTTATGTGAGCCATATTTAGTTTTATTGTGTTTATTCTAGTTTATTTATGTCCATTTTACCTTTCATGGTTTTCTACTCATTTATTATGATTCATATATTATATCATCTATTCATTTATTATAGCAATTTATTCAATATCAAGTACATTGAATTATTATGAATTTATTATTTACTTTTTTATTACTTATTATTTATTATGCCATTCTTTTTACTATCTTGGATTTAATTTGCTTTTCTTTTCCCAGCTCTAGAAATTGAAGTTTTACATCTATAATTTCCTTCTAAGTATTACTTTGGCTACACTACCATCTTGGATGTTGTGCTCTCATTATTTTTTATTTAAATATTTTCTAATTTCCACTAAGAATTCTTAATTGACTTATAAGTCATTTAGAAGCGGTTCCTTTTTTTTTTTTTTTTTTTTTTTTGTCGGTTTTCAGTGTGATTCCATTGTGGCCTAAGAACATACTCTGTGTGATTTCAATTTTTAAAAATATTTTAAGATTGCGTTATGGCCCAACATATGATCTATTTTTTTTTCATATGATCTATTTTGATAAACGTCCCAGGTACACTTGAACATATATTTTAATGTTGGGAACAGTGCTCTACATAGGTCAGTCAGATTGAATTATTTCATAATGTACAAATCTTTTATATCTTTACTGATTTTTTTGGTTTGATTTTTTAGTGAGATACTGAGATATGTACATTAAATAATCTTTGGCAATGACTGTGGATTTGTATATTTCTCCATTTAGTTCTGATATTTTGGTTTTATATATTTCAAGTGTTATTGGCTGCCTACTAATAGCACTATAAGGTTTTTTTATTGAATTGAAACTTTTGTCATTATGATGTCTTTCTTCATCTTTAGTAATACTTCTTAAAGTCAAATTTATGTACTGGTAATACAACCACACAAGCATTTGAGGGGAGGTAGTATTTACATGGTGTATCCTTTTAATCCTTTTAAATTAACCTTGCCTTTTTATTTCTTGAGTCCAATCTGAAAATCTTGTCTTTTAATTGGAGCATTTAGTTCATTTACGTTTAATAGATGGGTTTAAGTTCACAATCTTACTATAAATTTTATTCATTTTGTTTATTTTTCTATTTGTCTTATCTACTCTTTCTTCCTTTGTTCCTCCTTTCTTTCATTACTTTGCATTAATCAAGTGATTTTATTATTCTGTGTTACCTCTTCTATTAGGTTCTTAATTATACCTGTTTTCTTTTGGTAATTACCCAGAGCAGTGGTTCTCAAACATTAGTATGCATCAGAATCACCTAGAGGACTGTTCCAACATAGATTTCTGGGCCCTACTTCTTTTTTTTTTTTTAATTTTTATTTATTTATG